ATACCCTGGACCAGGCCACTGCCATCTCCCTTGAAACTGCAGGGACAGCTTCATGACTGCTGGCCTTGCTTCCAAGCCCACAGGCTATATTCTCCGTGGAGAGTGGTATTTTTAAAACATATGCTTGACCTTAGTACTTCCCAGCTCTAGACCACCCAGTGGCTTCCTTTAGAGTAAAATCCACAGTCCTTCCCGTGGCCTCTAAGGCTGTCCATAGCTTGGTCCCTATCTGACTACTTCTCAACTGCATCTCCAACCCTTCTCACTCCTCCAGTCCACCACACAGGTTTTCTTGCTTTTCCTTAAACACACCAAGTTCCTTTCTATCCCAGGACCTTTGTACTTGCTGTTATATTTGACTGGAATAAACAACCCCCACCAGAGATCTCAGAGTGCTTGCTTAGAGCTCTGATTAAATGTTATCTCTGTGGAGAGACCTTCCCTGACCACCTAATCTAAAAGTCTTCCTCCACTCCTCTCTTCTCTCTGTTACCCTCTGAAAGCTACCTTCTTTATCTTTCTTCATAGTATCAGTACTACTCACTACTGAAATCCTAGTGTGTACAGTGTCTGTTTACTGTTTATCATCTCTCCCGTATTACCAGTGAGACTTCTGTCTTATTGACCACCGTATTCCTAGCATCTGGCACATAGTAGGAGTGAAAAAAGTATTAATTTGCTGATGAGATGAATGGATGGATAGTGGTTAAAAAAAAAAAAGCATGCTTTGAGTCCAATTGCTTGGGTTCAGATCCTATTTCTACTACTTGCTAATTTTGATCTTTGGAAAGTTACTTAATTTCTTTAAGCCTTTTTCTTCTTTTTTAACATGAGGATAAAATAGTAGCATTTTCGTAGGGTTATTGGGATGATTGAAACGATCCATGTTAAACATTAAGAACAGTTCCTAGTACAGTGAGCTTAAAACCAAGGATAGTTGGGTGGAAGAGAGCATTCTAGAAGAGGAAACAGCCAGTGCAGTGCCTTTATAAATATGGAGCATATATTCAGTTAGTCGGGACTTTTTATAAGCATGGAAGTTTCCTGGAAAATATGTTATTTTTTAGTGTGTTTTCCATAATGGTCCTAGTTTTCCCCGTGAAATCAGCAGAACAGTAGTATCTGAATCTCTTTATCCGTTTGTTGTAGGAAAATCCAGGGCTTAGAGTTTTTCTGGTAGCATACAGATATCCTTCCTTGTTGGAAGCTCATGTGCAGCCTGGTTTGGGGAAGAGGCCAATTCAAGAATGGTGTTGACATTTGGACTACCAGCTGCTTATAGAAATTTTCCCTGGTCAAAATGCAATTAAAGTTTTAGGTCTATAGCATTATGGAACATCTTTTTATGTCAGCTTTACTGCCACTAAAGCACAACCACAGCCCTTAGGGAAAGTCACCCTTATACTTTAACTGTCAGAATCTGAGGATTTTGTTTTCATTGGTAGTTTGACCAGCTTATAAACCTATTCTTGAGGAAGTCCTTAGAAATAAGCCAGTCACAAAAAGTCACAATTGTATGATTCCATTTATATGAGATACCTAGAGTAGTCAAAATTGTAGAGACAGAAGGTAGAATGCTGGTTGCCAGGGGCTGTGGGGGTGAGAGTATTTAAAGGACAGAGAGTTTTAGATTTACAAGGTGAAGAGTTCTGGAGCATGGATAGTGATGATGGTTGCACAGTGTTATTAACGTATTTCATACCTTAAAAGTGGTTAAGATGGTAAATTTTATGTTATGTGTATATTACTGTAATTTAGAAATTGGGGAAAAAATGAAAAACAACAAAATCCTCAAGCTAAGATATTAACATTTTTTTCCACCTGATGCTTTTTCTGTAAATCAGCTGTCTTTCTCTTTTTGCTGAAAGAATCCTATGTAATAACATAGGTTTTTTAGAAACCACACCCCCAACCTCTTACTTTGAAAACAAATAGTACAATGAACCTTTGTATACCCATGTTTATATACTTTTCCTGAATCATTTGAAAGTTAGTTATAGATATCATGTCAATTTCCCCCTAAATACATATGTATCTCCTAAAATCAAGGACATTCTCTTAATACCATTATCCCATCCAAAAATTTAATACTGATTCAGTATCATGTAAAATACAGGTCATTTTCAAATTTCACTAATTGTCTAAAAAAATATAAATGTTGGAAGTGTGTGTGTGCATGTTTTTTAATCCAAGATCCAGTCACGGTTTATTGATTGCATTTGGTTCTGATGGTTCTTTTATCTTTTGTTACACAGGTATTTTTGAAGAGTCTAGGCCACATTCTAATTTGTCTGATTGTTTCCCCGAGATTAGATTTAGGGTAAACATTTTTGTTAAGAATGCTATAAATGTTACATTGTGTGCTTCCGTTTGCTTCACATCAGTAGACATAAATTGTCAATTTGTTCTATTATCAGTAATGTTAAAGTTTAATAAATTTAGTTAATGTGATGTTTCCCAGCCCTTTCTCCTTGTTAGTAGGCTCTTGAGATTGTGTGAATATTCTGTTTTCCATCCACCTTTCGCTCAATTGTTTTGGCTTTTATTAATGATCCTTGCCTGATTCAATTACTGCATCTAGGGTTGCAGTGTAGTGATTTTCTAATTGTCATCCCCTCTGCATTTATTAACTGGCTTTTTGTTTTGTTTTTTGGTAAAGAAGAGCTTTCCCTTTTTCTCTCCTTCTTTCAGTATCACTGTGGGCTCATGGATTCTTTTTATACTCAGTGTGCTGTATATTCTTTTCCTGTTATTATTATTTATTGTCCAATGGGAGTCTTTGTCCTTTTTAAATGGTCTCATCGGTCTTTGAGTACTCCATGCGTTCTGGCCCAAGATATTCTGGGGTTACCTTGTATTTTCCTTGCTCCAGATCTGAAGTCAGTCAGTTTCACAGGAGCCCTGGTTCCTTTTAGTGGGGAATGGTATTTAGAAACCAGGATTGGGGGCTAGGTGTACTTAGAAGAGAAACTTTTAAAAAACACTACCTGTCATTTTGATAGTGTGTTACCATTTAAGAGGACTTTAACTTGCGGGTTTTTTTTGGTTTTTGGTTTTTGGTTTTTTTTTGCGGTACGCGGGCCTCTCACTGTTGTGGCCTCTACCGTTGCGGAGCACAGGCTCCGGATGCGCAGGCTCAGCGGCCATGGCTCATGTGCCTAGCCGCTCCGCGGCGTGTGGGATCTTCCCGGCCCGGGCCACGAAGACTCTCAAACTGCGCCACCAGGGAAGCCCCTAACTTGCGTTTTTAAATGGTTTGTCACTTGGTCCTTCCTGCAGTCCTCTGTGGTAGGCAAGGTCGAACACTAAAATCTTCATTTTAAAGATGGCAAAAATGAGGTGTAGAAAGGATTAACTTTCCCAGAATTATAAGACTAATAAGAGCAGGTTCCAGGAGCAAAACCGCAGTCTTTTTACCTGCTACTTTATATTTTTCATTTTTCCCACAGTACATAGTCTCCTAAAAAGTGTGTTTAGATGTCTTTAAAAAGCTGTTTCGGGGCTTCCCTGGTGGCGCAGTGGTTGAGAGTCCGCCTGCCATTGCAGGGGACACGGGTTCGTGCCCCAGTCCGGGAAGATCCCACATGCTGCGGAGCGGCTAGGCCAGTGAGCCATGGCCGCGGGGCCTGTGCTCCGCAACGGGAGAGGCAACAGCAGTGAGAGGCCCGCGGTTTCGCTGGCTCTTGGTCACTGCCAGCTCCACTAAAGAGAGAAAGCTTCCTTTGTGAGACTAAATGATAAATGACTAGAGCCTGGAGAATATTTGCATCCCTCTTAGCATAGCCATTGGGAGCCTTTTGTAACGGGGTTTGCTAGCGAGGCTTTCAGAGGCTTTCAGTGGTCCTCTGTAATGCGTGGAATATTTGATTTGTGACTTGGAGAGCTCTGTTTGAAAACAGTACATAGTCATACCTAAACCATGACAGCCTGGAATCGGGCCACTCCCAGAGAAGCAGGAAGCCTGCTAGTATATTTTTAAAATGCTGTGCTTATGTTGTGATTTGGTGTTGTATTATGTGAAGGTCTTTTTTCTTAACTTGTTTTATTGTCAGAAAACACAAGCTTTTTTTTCATTAACACTCCAAGGAACATTTTTAGACATTTTTTTCCTTAATCTCTCTCCACCATGCAATTTTAATATGTCAGATATATAGTACATCAGTTTACATACTCTATGTATATTTGTGCTTTATACATAAAAAGAGTACGTTTTTTTTTTTTTTAATCCCCCAAGAACCACTTTTTTTCCCTGTTAGGACTGATGTCACCCTAATTGAGACTGCATGGAGTAAGATGGAGGAAGGAAGGATGAATATGATTTGAAATATAGTAATACATTTTGTATTATAATAATATATTTTGAAATAAAGTTTATTTATTGAATAAATAAATGCAATATATAGATTATTTCAATCCTAAGAGCACTTTGATCTTTTGGTTACCTGAAGGCTAAACTCATCCTACAGCTGCAAAGATAGTAATATTTCATCCATAGGGAGCTTCAGGGTCTACAGTCTGAATTCTTTTCCCCATCCAAACAGTTAGATAATTAGAACTCTTGGCAATACTGGTGAATTTAATCTTTTCCAGTATTGTTTTCTCCAGAATTCTTGGATGTGTAAAGATACTATTTAAGTGTATTTTAACATTTAAGGGGCCCATGCATTTTTCCTTCAAAATCCCCCCTCTCCTCTACCACAACCCCAAGTAAAGAACTCTTGAGTCTGAGGGAGTTGAAACAGAGAGACTGCAGTTAAATTCCGTGGAACACAAGATCTTTTAAAGCATTTACCCATTGCAGACTATTTTGCGTGCTTTGTGGCTTTTTTTCTGAAGCATTTCTCTGTATGTCTTTCTTTTCACTGTTGTTTCCTGCCTCAATCTTCTCTTCTCTTTGTCTTTTGCAATCTCTACCTTGCCCCAATCTTCCTTTCATTTTTCTTTTCCTTCCTTCTTATGTCCTCTCTCTCCTACATGTTATCTCCTTTCTTTTCGTTCAGGATTATGAGAGTAAATTGCAGGCCTTGCAGAAGCAGGTGGAGACGAGATCCCTGGCAGCAGAAACAACTGAAGAGGAAGAAGAGGAGGAAGAAGGTGAAATAAAGAGACTGAAACTGTATTGATATATGTTTCGGATCTATGTTGTCAAATTACTGAGCTGATTTAAAGATGATTTAAAAGATGCTCAATGCTGAGAATCCAGGCTGTACTCTATGAGGTGGGGATGGGACTCATAGTGTCTATTAGAACACAAGCCATCTATCTGAGCATAGTCTCCATAGAAATCTGTTGGGCAATTTATATAAACTGTCTCATATTACTGTACATATGAAGTTCACATATATGTTGCAAATAAATATAGAGCTTAATCTTTGTTAAGATACTCTGTTTTATTTTCTGGTTTATGTCAGGGATTTCCGAGTGAGGGCTTTGGAATATATCAGCGTACATTAAAGCTATTTCTGGCAGATTGCTAATCACATTGCTTAGTCCTGCCTACCTGTCTTAAGTTTTCTAGAATTTCTTAGTTGAATTAGGGCTTTAATGGTTAGTTACTGCCTTACAATGCAGTATGAACATTCATCACATTTCATTTTTCTACCCAACCTTCATAATAACTTTGAAGGAACTCTTAATTTATGTACTAAATTCTTTATTTTTAAATATCCATGTGAGGGCCTTCCCTGGTGGTCCAGTGGGTAAGACTCCATGCTCCCAGTGCAGGGGGCCTGGGTTCGATCCCTGGTCGGGGAACTAGATCCTGCAGGCATGCTGCAACTAAGAATCCGCGCAACTTAAGAGTCCACGCAACTAAGCGTCTGCATGCCACAACGGAAAAAAAAGGTCCCGTATGCCACAACTAAAGATCCCGCATGCCTCAATAAAGAGCCCACGTGCTGCAACTAAGACCCGGCACAGGCAAAGTAAATAAATAAATATTTAAAAATAAAAAATAAATATCTATGTGAAATATGACCTTCTTTTTCCTGTACTAGAAAGAAAAATAGATATATTTGAAATTGTACAACGTACTAGGGGTTTTTCTTTATTATAAGCCACACATTAAGGTATATCTTAAAAAAGAATGGAGGAAAACTGGAAAATACTTGATGAAGGAGATGAGGTAGAGGTGGGATATAATTTCTACATGGTTATGAGATCACCATTCAATGCACTTCGTTTGTTCTTTCAGTTCCTTGGACACAACATGAATTTGAGCTGGCCCAGTGGGCCTTCCGGAAGTGGAAGTCTCACCAGTTTACCTCATTAAGGGACTTACTCTGGGGCAATGCCGTTTACCTGAAGGAGGCCAATGCCATCAGTGTGGAATTGAAGAAGAAGGTACGGAGGATGTGGGAACATGGACCATCTGGAGGCAGAGCTGAGCCTGGTGGGCTTCATGGTCCTCATCCTGAGCTAACCTTTCCCTTGGGTGAACTCAGCAGCTTTTTGCTATGAAACATGTTTATATATGCCTGTATTTAATATATGTGCCTGGAACATAGTAGGTACTAATTAAATATTTGTTAAATGGAAAATTTAAAATAACATGTTTTCTAGCTTATTTTATAAGCGAGGAGACCGTATTCCTGACAGGAGCTAGAGAAACATATTGATAGCAAAATACTTCTCCTGGGTTTCTGAAAATCTCAATTTTCTTTTAGTTTTCTACCATTAAGTTGGCACTTCTAAGTCCTATGTGCCCTCTCATCTTCTAGGGTCTGAAAGGCAGTTTTGTGTGATGGACAGGCGCGTACACTCTGCACCCAGACAGCCAGGTTCCAACCCCAGCTCTCCCACTGGTTTGACCCTAATAGCCGCAGGCCTCCAGTCCCTCACCTGCAAAATGGGTTTGGCAACAGTGCCTGCCACCCAGGGATTTTGTGAGAGATGAGAGAGTGAATGCATGGAAGGTGCTGAAGTGGTGCCTAGACATGGTAATTAATATACTGAAACATCACACCACATCTTAGATTTATTCTTCTTTATGTCCCACGGTTTAACAGTCTCCTGATGGCTAAGATTTATGGGGGGGTGGGGGTGGGAGGGGCAATACTGTGAAGAAGGTAAGAGCACAGACTGCCTGGCTTTGGGAAAAATCATTATCTTCTCCGAGGGCTATATTCTAGTTCTGTAAAATGGGGATAAGACATCTTATTCATTCATAACCCCATCTCATTTTGTAATCATTTATTAACTATTTCCCTCTTCAAATAGACTAAAAGATGGCAGGGACTATCTTTTTGTCTTATAGCTGTACCTAGCATTTCATTAATAGTTGGTAAAAATATAGGGTGGTATCAAGAAATAAATGACATGATGAATGCAAAGCACTTAGCCTGTGGTAACAATTTTAAGAGTAATAGTTGTAATCCTCTGAATTTAAAATGGAAAACCTTAGCATGCCTCCACCCTCTCTCATTAGTGGGTGAGGGTGCACTCCTGGGTCCACCATTTGTTCTCTACAGAAGTCTTCGTTCAGTCAACCAAAGCATATTTATTGAGATTTTAGGTTGTGCAAAAACACTGTGCCAGGCTAGGAAAACAAAGTCTGTAAATAGCTTAATGATTAATATACAAGTGGCCACTTTTTTCAGTTGATCACAAGCTGTTGAGCATGTGCTGCTGTTTGACCTCCTTCCCATCAGGCGTGATTATATTGCCTTGTTTCCAAAACTTACTTGCTAAAAACAGAAAGGCCGTTTGTCGATGGTTTCTTCCTTCCATTTAGGTGCAGTTTCAGTTTGTTCTTCTGACTGACACGTTGTACTCCCCTTTGCCTCCTGAATTACTTCCCACTGAGATGGAAAAAACTCAGGAAGACAGACCGTTCCCTCGTACGGTGGTGGCTGTAGAAGTCCAGGATCTGAAAAACGGAGCAACACATTATTGGTCTTTGGCGAAACTTAAGTATGAAAATGTTATGCATAAAGCCTTTATTCTTATTTAATATCATTAAATGGTGGGAGCAGCTTTTTAAAATCTTACATGGAAGTTACTTCCAAGATGAAATTTTGATGTGACCTTGTGGTATTAACCCAGCACACTTTATGGTTACTGTACAGGCAGAGGCTGGATTTGATGCGAGAGATGTATGACAGGGCAGGTGAGATGGCCTCCAGCGCCCAAGATGAAAGTGAAACCACCATGACTGGCAGCGATCCATTTTATGATCGATTCCATTGGTTCAAACTTGTAGGAAGGTAAGTAATGATTTTATTGATGTCTTCTTTTCAGGTTATGAATGGTTTTATTTTAATTGTTTAAAGCCTCGGCAGATATTACAGAAAGTTAAAGAAAAAGAGTACAAAAAAGCCCCATTTATAATCTTATCCACTCATACACAGCCACTGTGTCATTTGGTATATTTCCCTTTAGTTTTATCCAACAGGCACATTTGTTTTAAGTTTCAGACTTTCAATCAAAGTAACTGACAGTCTTCCCTGCCTGTCAGCTCATTCACAAAATGTCTTACACTTGACCAAGATAGATTTAAAAGAAAAAGGAAACCTGTGTCTGTATCCTGCATAGTTTAAAATCACAGTATGACGTCCAATTTATCAGACTGCAATCTCTCCACGATTGTCCTCACTTTAATTTTTAAAGCAGTTCATCTCACTTTAGTCTTTGCCAAGAGTGAATAATTGCACACCCTTAGTAATCCACCTGAGCCTTTTTTGTGTATACTTTACTTTCAGCATTTAACGTGAGTCCATAGTGAGTCACGTTCTTAGAGGTTTAGAATTTTTAAAGCAGAGAAGTATAAGTTTTCACCTTAATGATTTCAGAATTTGAAAATTTTTCTAATTGCAAAAACTTTCCAACAGTTTTAAAGGAACTGGGTTAAAAGGTGGAGCTGAAGTCATATTTTGTAGAAATGAAGTAAGTCTTTTCCAGTCTACTCTGATAGTAGAGCGTTTTCAAAGAGATGAATTGGCCAAACACGTCTTGCCCAAGCAAGGCACATACCTGCTTTGCCATATACCATTTCATCTGTTTTGTTTTCTGCTCAGAGATGACATGGTAATTGGAATAAAGATTTAAACCTTATTATTTCACCTAATATTGAGTGGCTCCTTTGAGACCTGGCTGCTGATTTTTTGTGTGAACTGGAGAACTTAAATGTTTTACAGCACATTGTTTACCTCGGATATTCTACTCATGTATTTCCTTTGCTTTTCTCATTCCAAGGATCAGTCCTTGTTCCATTTCACCTGAGCCAGATGATTTATGCTTATTTTATCCCTTTGCTTTTCCACTTGCTTGTGTTGTTTTGGTTCCCCAGTGGGTTCTGTCCTGTTGGCAGCTGTAGCTTCCTGTTTAACCAACTATTCCTCTCTCCTTGGCTGTGTCCGTCGGCATCTTACCTGGTGTCTAGCGCCCCCATTTTCCACGGCTGTGTGAATGAGCGCCTTGCTGACCGCACGCCCTCCCCCACTTTTTCCACGGCCGATTCCGACATCACTGAGCTGGCTGACGAGCAGCAAGATGAGATGGAGGATTTTGATGATGAGGCATTCGTGGATGACACCGGCTCTGACGCAGGGACGGAGGAGGGATCAGATCTCTTCAGTGATGGGCATGACCCGTTTTACGACAGATCCCCATGGTTCATTTTAGTGGGAAGGTTGGTGAGGTTAAAGTGAGAAAGGCAAAAAGGGACCAGCTCTTGCTCTAAATAGGCTCCTTGTGCAATTTTGGACAATTTTACTTTAGCCAGTTCAATTCATGACACGCTGATCTGGCTGAGAGAGCCCTCAGGCAGCATCTGTGAGGTACTTGGCCTACTTGGTACAGCACGCGGCAGCGTGTGGACACTCTCCGTGGAGGATTCCTTGTGTCAAACTGCCCAGTAATTTTGTTCTGAAGGGGGAGACCCCAGAGGAGAAAGTAATCAAAGCTAAGAGTCACACCGTTATGGAGTTGAAGAATGTCATTGTGTCTGATGTTTCCTCTTTGTGGGAGTGTGAGTGAGAAAGCAAAAGGGGCAACGTGAGAAGGATAGCAGAGCAAGTCCAAGGCTAGGCTGAAAGGACTCGTGGCATCAGCGGGAATCGCGAGGACAGAAGTGGAATCAGGAGTAGTGTTAGTTTTATTTCTTGCTTAGTCTGTGAGTCCAGAAGAGAATCAAGAGCGTGAAGTTTCCTCTTTGTCTAACTAAAATGGATGCCTTTCTTTGGCCAGTTTCATAGATCTTTGGCTTGTGCTAAGATTTTACCTATAGGCATTATAATGACGAATCTCATAAAATTATCTGTTGAAACCATCAACAATGGATATTTGTTCGGTGCTCCATGACACTGCTTTGTGTTAAGTTCAGCTTATCAAACCAAGGCATTGTCTCTGGCCCCATCTGTCAGTGATGCAGAGCTCTCAGGCACATGTTCCTAATACTGGGGTCTTTGTCTATATCCAGTCTTCATGCTGAAGTAATTTTAATTACAAATTCAACAGTGCAGCACTCACTGGATTAACAAAAAATTATGTCTATGTTTTGATTTAATTTCAACGCTGCATTAAAACCACATGTTGTTGAACCCTTTAAAAATAAGGGAAATTATATTAGTGTTAGTGGATAAGTACCAGTTATCTAAAAATATGAAAGTGCAGCGAGTCTCCTGACCCGTTAGGGACACAAGGTTCTAAAACTTAGCTCAGAGTATGGTGTTGGTTACCTGGTGAGAACTAAATAAATAATATAGAAGGTGATCACTTTTATGGAAAGGGGGAAAAGAAAAGCTTTTTGATAGAAATTAAAGCCTCAATTATGACTGTGGGTTGTACTATTAGACAGTCTTGGGGTTTTACAATCGTAAAGGGGCATTTATTCAGTTTTTCCATGAATAAATATAAAGGATTATACAACCATGAATATTGTCTGGTGTATTGCCAGGAATAGATGCTTAGAATTTCAGAGAAGCTGATTTATATTAAAATTGAGAAGGATACTTCTGTGTACAAATAATGGGACCATAATGCTTTCCTTACTTTATGGCTGTTTCCATCCTCTTCTGAGAGGGTCGGAAGTTGGAATCAAGTTTTTGTCCACAAACTGCTTGGTCCTGATGCCAGTCTTGCAGCTTCTCACGCTGCTCACTTTGTTCTACATTATCACACATGAGGAATAGGTAGCTTCACCCTATGTGGTGTGATGGAAAGAACACCGACCTAACTTAGGACAGGCAACTAAAACTGAGACCTGTTAGGTTCTGAAGTATAAACTGAAGAGTTAGGTAGGGAGAAGAAAAAGCATTAAAGATCTTTTTCATCTTTTGTATTCTTTCATCCATACTAGCAAAATGAATATCCTGGTTCTACTCAGAGTTCCACTCAGAAGCATTTGTATTTTGAGTCAGTTGTATGAAAATCCCACGTAATGTGGAAATTCTCTGCATTAAGATATATGTATTTTCTCTCATTTTAATCATATCAGATTTAAGTGTAGGTATAAGGCAATCAACTCTACTTTGATTTTCAAATAAATTATTTGTGGAGCTGTGGCTCAGGAATTGACCTTTCCATTTCTTTGGGTTCCCAGGTTCTAAACCTGACTTTGCTTTGCAAGAAAAGTATTAGGGGAGAAGGTGAAATCATAGCAGAGTGAAGGATAGCTCTTTATTTTCACCCTTGACCGCATTTCTTACCTACAAACAATTTGTAATAATGCAACATCACCCAGTTACGTACCAGTCATTCTCTGTGTAAGAGGAGTAACTTCTTTGCTTTTTTTGTGATTCACGGGATTAGATTTCCTGTATTGGCACACAATTGCAAATACAATTTACTTATAAAATTTTCCAGTTTTTTGTAAAATTCCATTTATAGGTTTTGATTCATGGCCTTGGCTGCCTCTGTTGAATTTTTATATGAAAATTAAAAGAGCTTGTCCCTTTAGCTATTCTCTTATGGCATGCTGGGATGTTATGAATCATCCATCATCATTTGGGATGAAATGTAAAGTATTTAGGCTAGTGTTCTGGGTTAAAAGTCTCCTGGTTATTCTGTGACCTAAGTACCTGAACTGACATTCTTTCTGTAACTGATCATAATTATGCTGGTTTTTATTATCTTTATGTTGACAGAATTTGTTACCCTTTTTATGTAACTTCATAGAACTTTATGCTAATACATCCTTTACATCTTCCCCTCTCTCGTCCCTGTTCTCTTTCAGTCTGCTAGGTCAAGGTACAAGGATTCTCAAGAATGAAGAATAATTATAAAAATTCTAGTTTAAAAAACTTCATAAGAGAACGAGAACATTTATAGAGCCCAAAGCATTGATTTTGGACCAAAGCCTATGTTATAATAATAAGACAAGGAGCTGTCTAGTGACTGTGCAGTTGTGTAGTCACAGTGCCGATGCACACTCCACTGCCATTGAATTATAGAATTCTCTCTTCTAAAAAGGCAAATTAACAAGAATACTTCCTATTCTTCCACTTTTGGAGTAGCCGTTGCCATAGACAGAAAGGAGATTCTTCTTTAACATTTGCGCAAACAGTACTTTATTGTAATTAAAAACAGGGGTTCTTGTTTTTGAGTAGCTAGTTTTAAGTATAAAAATAGCTATACAAATTAAATATGGTTAAGAATCTAAATATGTCCTATATAGTTAATATCCATCATGAGTATGGCTTTGAAAAATCAACCTAATATAAAGTTGAATGGCTTTGCTTCTCTACCTCTGGTTTAACCCATTTTTCTAGGAAAATCTTCCACTTCTGCTTAAAGATAGAGGACAGATCACTTTCCCATTCACTTATGTACATAGATGTTCAATCACTCACCAGATATTTATTGACCAGACATGGTTCCTGCCCTCATGGGTTTTCAATCTGGTGGGTGAGACAGACAAATAATTACATAAATAAATGGAAATCATAGCAATGATGGAGTTGTGTGTTACTGAGATCATAAAACACTAGGGGGACCTGTCATAAGAGAGTGGTATTTGGAATATGATGTGAAATGAAAGGCATGAGGTGGGTAGAAGAGCTCAGAGAGGACAGCAGACAGGGGACAAGCATATACGATGGCTCTTTAATGGCCAAGGCATTGAACGCGGGCAGTGGCTGGAATGCCAGTGAGAAATGAAGGTGGTCTGTATGTGTGCTGACTTTGAAAGTGAAATTATCCATTTGGTACCTTATGCCAAATTCGTAGTCTTTAAACTCTATCACAGTAGTTGATGTTTGAGACTCTTGTTTGTAATCCTTTTTAGACTTTTCTTTTAAAAATCTTTGTACAACGGAGCTTTATCCCTCTTTTTTAGCATTGCCCTCCCCCACCTTTGGAGCAGACTGAAAGGGAAGTAGACATCATTTGATCTGATTCAGTATCCACTTGCAGTTATTTTTGTTATACTTTCATTCATGTTTCATTTATGGTCTTTCAGTTTTATTAACATTTGTTTTTCTGTGGTGTATTTTGTCTATTTTCAGAATTGTTTTCATTACTTGGAGTTGAAATCCCAAGAATCCGCTCCATCTTCCTTTTCTTTGTTTTAAAGTAGATTCAGAGCAGGAAAAGGTGCAGACATGCATACAGGCATACCTCGGAGATATTGCTGATTTGTTTCCAGACCACTGCAATAAAAGCAAATATCGCTATAAAGCCAGTCACGTGCCCTTTTTGGTCTCCCAATGCATATAAAAGTTATGTTTACATTACATTTGGTCTATTAAGCGTGCAAAGCGTTATGTCTAAAAAAAAACAATGTACCTTAATTAAAAAATACTTTATTGCTAAAAGGAATATGCTAGCCATCATCTTGAGCCTTCAGTGAAGTAGGCTTTTTGCTGGTGGAGGTTGCCGTTTGATAGCATCTAACCCACAGTAGAACTTTCAAAACTGGAGTCAGTACACTCAGACCCTGCCATCGCTCTATCAGCTGTGTTTATGTAATATTTTAAATCCTTTGTTGTCATTTCCCAGCATCTTCACTGCAAGTAGATTCCATCTCAAGAAACCACTTTCTTTGCTCATCCGTAAGAAGCAACCCTTCACCCATTAAAGTTTTATCATGAGACTATAGTAATCCAGTCCCGTCTTCAGGCTCCACTTCTAATTCTTGTTCTCTTGCTATTTCTGCCACGTCTGCAGTTACTTTCTCCACTGAAGTCTTGAATCCCTCAAAGTCATCCATGAGGGTTGGAGTCAACTTCTTCCAAACTCCTGTTAATATTGATGATATTTTGACCTCTTCCCACAAATCACAGATGTTCCTAATGGCACCTACAATCCTTTCCAGATCCATCAAAGAAGTCACTGTCTATGGCAGCTGTAGCCTTACAAAATGTATTTCTTAAACAACAAGACTTGAAAGTCAGAATTACTCCTTGACCCATGGGCTGCAGAATGCGTGTTGTGTTAGCAGGCACGAAAATATTAATCTCCATCAGAGCTCTTGGGTTACCAGGTGCATTGTCAGTGAGCAGTAATATTTTGAAAGGGCTCTTTTTTTTTTTTTTTTGCCCTGAGCAGTCGGTCTCAACAGTGGGCTTAAAATATTCAGTAAACCATGTTGTAAACAGATGTGCTGTCATCTAGGCTTTGTTGTTTCATTTATAGAAAACAGGCAGAGTAGATTTAGCATAATTCTTAAAGACCCTAAGATTTTCAGAATGGTAAATGATCGTTGGCTTCAACTACAGGTCACTAGTTGCATTAGCCCCTAACAGAGTCAGTCTGTCCTTTGAAGCTAGACATTTACTTCCCTCTAGCTCTGAAAGTCTTAGATGGCATCTTCCTCCAACAAAAGGCTGTTTCATCTACACTGAAATTCTTATTCAGTGTAGCCACCTTCATTAATTAACTTAGCTGGGACTTCTGGATACTTTGCTGCAGCTTCTGAATCAGCACTTCTGCTTCCCTTTGCACTTCTATGTTACGGAGACGACTTCTATGTTACGGAGACGACTTCTTTCCTTAAACACCATGAACCAACCTCTGATAGCTCCACACTTTTCTTCTGTAGCTTCTTTACCTCTCTTGGCCTTCATAGAATTGAAGACAGTTAGAGCCTTGCTCTGGATTAGGCTTTGGCTTAAGGGAATGTTGTGGCTGTTTTGATCTTCTATCCAGACCACTAAAACTTTCTCTATATCATCAATAAGGCTTTTTTTGCTTTCTTATATCACTTGTGTATTCACTGGAGTAGCACTTTTAATTTCCTTCAAGAGCTTTTCCTTTGCGTTCACAACTTGTCTGACTGGCACAAGAGGCCTTGCTTTCAGCCTGTCTCAGCTTTCAACATGTCTTCCTCACTAAGCTTAGTTATTTCTAACTTTTGAGTTCAGGTAAGAGACATGAGACTCTTCCTTTCACTTAAACACTTAAGAGGCCATTGTAGGGTTACTAACTGTCCTAATTTCAGTATTGTTGTGTCTCAGGAAATAGGGAGGCCCAAGGAGAGGGAGAGAGACAGGGGAATGGCCTGTTGGTGGAGCAGTCAGAACACACATTTATCGGTTAAGTTCAGTGTCTTGTATGGTTGTGGTTTGTGGCACCTCTAAACAGTTACAACCATAGCGTCAAAGATGACAGATCACCATAAAAAAAATAATAATAATGAAAAAGTTTGAAATAGTGTGAGAATTACCAAAATGTGACACAGTCATGAAGCAAGCAAACGTTGGAAAAATGGCACCTTGCTGGAGACAGGGTTGCCACAAACCTTCAGTTTGTAAAAAATGCAATATCTGCAAAGCGCAAGAAAGTGGAACACAATAAAACGAGGTATGCCTGCATGTGTCACATTTAGTTATGTGTGATTTCTTGATGCAAATGTTTACTCTTTGTCTTGTCTTCAAAGATCAGCATATACCAAGTGGGAAGACAGGAATAATAGTAGGAACTAGATTCTATTTCCCACCTACTAATTGGAATGAACACCCAAGCTTTGTGATCACCGGTTTGTGTTGCTTAAAAAAAGTCAATAGCTACAAAATAATGAAAGAAGAAAAAAAGAGAACAAATGTGATACGACTTTGCTAGTTCATTTGAAGTTGAAAAATGTTAGGTCTTACCTCGTGTATATGTATTTCTGAATAAAGTTTTGAACCCTAGAAGCAAAAGCAACCCTTTAGGGATCAGCTGTCTCCTTCTCCCTTAGCATTTATCTTGATGTCCATCCAGGGTCTCTTATAAGCTCACTAACAAAGAAATTTCTGGCTACATGGCCTTTCTGCCCATTTGTGTCAGTCACCCTACCTAAAGATCATAGTCATTTCTTAGGGTAAAAATAAAGACCCACAATATTGTGACTTGAAATCTATTTTAGAGTTATTGACTGTATTTCAGTCACATTTTTCTGACCATTTTTGTCTGCTGATTTCTGTATTATCTATTCGGGAAAACAAAACAAAAACCTCTTTGTAATTAGTTACATTAAAAGGTTAAACTCTTTAACGGGCTCCCTTTTCCCACTCGCAGCAGCATTTGTAGAGGAGTATCTTGGAAGTCCACTTCCAGTGGTCACTCTACCTATGGTAGTAATTCTTATAGGGAGTAATTTGGTGTACGTTGGTCTTTTCCACTGCTTTGCCAAGCATTTGCATTTGTTTATAGGTTATGTATTCTGAAAAAGCAACAGGAGGCAGTCTGAGAGTACAGAACAGAGAGGTGACCTTAAGACAGGGCCCAGAAGCCAGCTCACAGTTTCATGAAGGTATTCTCAGTAAATCTGAAAGCCACCTTCTCTACCTGTGGGATGCTCAGATGTCTGTCTCCTGGTTTCTGTCTCTAGAGCATTTGTTTACCTGAGCAACCTGCTGTACCCCGTGCCCCTGATTCACAGGGTGGCCGTTGTCAGTGAGAAGGGCGAAGTGCGGGGATTTCTCCGTGTGGCTGTGCAGGCCATCGCAGGTAGGCGCCCCTCTTCTGAAATGAGCGCTGTGGGTCCTCTGCCTCGAGACAAAGGAAGCCAGTTTCATAAGGGCCGCGCTTCAGTGCAGACTGAAGACAGCCTTTATTGCTGCCTTTCTAGCTGTTGTTCCCAAGTATCACGAGTAGATCCTGTTTGGTTTGGGCTACTGCTGTTTTGGAATAATGGGGTAAAGGGATCTCCTTTAACATGAAGAACAACCCTTGGGTTACCTTTATACAAATCGTTTGCATTTTAAATGATGTACCTTAACTGCTTCAGAAATAACAGAGGATTTTCAGACGGTTTCTTGCCTAATTTTCTGTCAGGATACTTCTGCTAGACGTTTCTGTACTTGGGCTGCTATTGTGCAATGTGTGGATCAAGATGTTGACACTTTATACTTTTTTCCAAGCTCCAGCCTACATTCTGAAGAAGAATGTGGCTGTTCCCTGTAACGTTTCTGTTTTAGTTTCCAGCTGCTGTGCTCTATTTAGTGACCTCTTTCAGCTTTTCCCCGTGGAAATGCATGATAGTCACCAGCGTTGAGCTATGGAGGCCTTCAGAAGTACAGTCTAGTATTTTCAAATATTTATTGAGTATTATTGAATATAATCTTGTCAAGTGAAGGGGTCAGTATTTCTAAGTATGACATTTGAACAACATCAAGAATGAAACCGATCCTTTATTCATTAGTTTCATTCGAGCTAAGGAGGTGATAAGTTTACCTGAGTAGAGTTGGAAGCAGCCTATTTGACTTTACTGCTTTGGTCTCTTTCTTTCTCATGCAAAAGACTTGTTCTTTAGTGTCTCCTCTTGTATTAAAGTTTGAGAACCCTAAAGCCCACTATCTCCTATTTATTTTTATTTTACTTTCCTCTATATTTTTATTATTGTAATCCAATGGGAGTCGTTCCTCCTTGTCCCCGTATGTAGTCTCATCCTTGCTTTTTTTTTATTTTCTTCTTTTTTTTCCTCTACTTAGCGGACGAAGAAGCTCCTGATTATGGTTCTGGAATTCGACAGTCAGGAACAGCTAAAATATCTTTTGATAACGAGTACTTTAATCAGGTGAGAAATCTGCCAGGAAGAGGAAAACCTTGTGGAAGGATAAGGAAGTAGGCAGGTTTTGTAAGGAGGATGTTCAGCACTGGAGAGCAGTTCTGCCTAGGACTAAAAAGTATAGGTTACCACAGGATAGTTAATAGAATATGGGACATGTCTAACAATGACCGAGGTAAGGGTAAAGGCCTTTTCTCAGCCAGCTCTTAATCCACATAACTTTTCAGTCACTATTATTTGTTGGGCAAATAAATATAAGTTACGGAAATGGGGGGAAAATATGTTGTCATACTACTTTATCATCTACTTACCCCTGCTTTGTTTTCAGAGTGACTTTTCTTCGGTTGCAGTGACCCGTTCTGGTCTATCCTTGGAGGAGCTGAGGATAGTGGAAGGACAGGGTCAGAGTTCTGAGGTCATCACTCCTCCAGAAGAAATCAATCGAATGAATGACTTGGGTGTGTAATCAGAGTGTACTATGATTGCATATGTTTTCAAAGAGGGAAAAATACTGACCATTGTCAAGGAAGATAGTTGCTTTTATCATCTAGGGATGGAAAGGTACACTCTACTCTCTGAAAGGTGCTTTGTGTGTTACTTGAACCATACGTGTGTTCATTTGACCCTCTTTAGATTTGAAGTCAAGCACTTTGCTGGATGGTAAGATGGTAATGGAAGGATTTTCTGAAGAGATTGGCAACCACCTGAAACTGGGCAGTGCCTTCACTTTCCGTGTAACAGTGTTGCAGGCCAGTGGAATCCTCCCAGAGTATGCAGATATCTTCTGTCAGTTCAAGTAAGCCGCCCCTTTGCTCTGCCTCCCTAGGCTCTTACCCCGGATGATGTCCTTTGTGCACTATAGAGTGATGTAACACTTGCCAGGTAGTACACTCTTGAGAGAGAAATGACTACCAGCCACTGAAATAAAATGCTTTCTTCACTCAAGATGGGAGTAAGAACTGGAAACCTACAATGGAATGAAACAGAGTTCATTGTGCGGAGGAGTGTGGCCACATATCCTGCTAGAAGGTTTGGTTGTGGACTGTACCCCTCTGCCAGGAGTATAGGATCAGATCCAGATGAGCCTACTTATTAGTCTTTTTAAATGCTCTTCATGCTGAAATGTCTCGTTAATAAACAAGTATGAAACCAATGAATTATCCAACCGCCAATTATGCTTATTTAATACTTGGGAAAGGGAAAATGTAAGTCATTTAAAGAGCAGCAAAATTCTGCATCCACTGAAAAAAAGCTAGTAAGTACGTAGAGAAGATGTGACAGGTTTCATTTCTTATCCACTTTCTAAGCATTTTCTATCCTATAACCCTCTGGAGCTCTGTGCTCTAGGTACTTCCCTCTCAAGACCTCCAAAAACATTTTTTTGGAGAATCTTTAAGTTTTAATACCCCCAAACATCAATATGTCTTCAGTACTTGGAAAGGGCCACAGTACAAGAGAATGAGGTCTGAGCCACCCCATTCCTAGAGCCCACAGTTTGCCACTGGTGCCACCAAAAGGCTGCTTTAGATTTCTGCCATTCATTTCCCCTCAGTATGTGCCTTAGCCTTCCCTGGGGTCCTAAAGCAGCATTGCTTTTTACATAGATTTTAGCCAAGTCCTCAATTAAATGTGATTATTACATAGTAAGCCGCTAATATCATTTGCTGTAATTATAATTGATGAAATAGTATCCATCCAGTGTAGCTTTTGCCCATTTAATGTGTTTTTGCTAATAGCCTCAGTTAGTAACTGATGTATTTTGTGGAAAAGACCTACTTGGTTAACTGACATCTGAAATGGCAATAGTGGTAATGTTGATTTCTGTCCTAAAATCTCCTAAAAAGAGAGTAGCATCTCCACCTGGCATTAGCTCTGGAGGAAAGGGCATGTTGACTCATGCTGAAAGAAGACTCAAGTTCTTCTGAGGTTTTTATAAACTCTCATCTGGCCTGCATAGGGAAAACACAGCTGTAGAGCAATGTGAATGATTTCATGTGTCACCTCTGTGGAATCCCAGGATATTTGTATCTGCTCCAAGCAGAGCCTTGTTGGAGTGTAGATCAGAGATCAGCTGATGCTCATGGCACCTCTGGCAGGTACACTGTGTGGTCTGGAGAGGAAGAAATTGGAAGAAAAAAAGGAGTAAGAAGTAAGAGAAGGAAGGGGAGAGAGGTAAGGAGAAAATGAGAAGAAAGAAAATAGACAAGAGTACACGTAGTGTGGAAGGCTACAGTGCCACAGCGGTATGTAGCATCAGTGATTTGGATGCCTGGCAGAAGTACACCACTGTCTTCGGGCTCAGTGAATTACAGTTGACCCTTGAGCAACTCAGGAGTTAGGGCACTGACCCTCCGCACAGTCAAAAATCCGAGTGTGTATCCAGGGTTCCACCATATCCGCAGTTCCGCATCTAAGGATTCAACCACCTGCCGATTGTGCAGTACCCTAGTATTTATTATGGAAAAAAATCCACGTATAAGTGGACCCACGCAGTTCAAACCTGTGTTGTTTCAAGGTCAAGTGTAATTTGGAAGACTGGTAGTTCATGATCCTGGTCTTTCTACCCCCTACTCTGAGTGTTCTTGGACTTCCCTGGTGGTCTGGTGGTTAAGACTTCGCGCTTCCACTGCAGACGCTGGTCGGGGAACTAAGATCCCACACGCCGCATGGCACAGCCAAAAAAAAATAAAGTATTCTCTTATTTCCATTTTTTTCTTGCAGGAGTGTGGGATGTCCTTCTGGTGCATATTTCTATCTGGCAGTAAATCTTTGAATTGAGTATTCTATAATTCTCCACTTCTTTTTATGTCAGACTAATAATAGGGAGGGAGAGAGAACAATAAAATCTCATATTTATGAGAATAAATCAACATAGCCCACTGACTCAAATATTTCAGGAGTAGTTTCTACATTTAGAGCCCTCTGGGAGACACTCACTGTCTTTTGGGGAGACAAGCAAATAAGTACATTATTACAAACAATGATATCATTGCTGTTGAAGAAAAATAGCTCTCTGGTGCTATGGGAACATAGAACTGTTTGAGTGAGTCAGGGAAGTTTTCCTGGAAAAGGTGATATTTGAATCTCCTCCTAGCTGGTCTTAGATAGACTCCCAGGCAAGTATGCTGTCCACAGGCTTTGATACTACCTTATAGAAGCTTTAATCTGCCAAATCTTTTCTGTACAAAATGATTTCACAGTTTTTATTTTCAGTAAAAAACTTATACAAGGGAATAGGAGTTCACTGAATTCACTGTTCATACATTCACATGGCTAAGTGATAGGGTTAGTTGATTTTTCAGTCATTTTTGACGTAAAAGCTAAAATGCTATCTGAGTGATATGGAAAACGTTCTCTACAAGGAAACGTAAATAACTTGACTCAGTTAAAGACTCTACTTAAGTAAGGTGCTGCTTTCCGTGGGATACAAGCTGATCCTGATGAAACCATTAATACGAAATTCACGCGGGCCTTTTTTTTTCTCTTAAGCTTTTTGCATCGCCATGATGAAGCGTTCTCCACTGAACCCCTCAAAAACAATGGCAGAGGAAGTCCTCTGGGCTTTTATCATGTGCAGAATGTAAGTGACGTAGACGTTTTGGCCAAATGTTTTGCGGGTTTGTGGTACCTTGAAGCAGCTGGGGTGAGGCAGTTGTCATGCGTGGGTCCCTTTGGCTTTCTCAGCTGCAGAAGGATGATAATCTAAGCTGCTGTGTAGGGGGAGCTCTGTGATGAGAACAGACAGTGGAGGGAGTGGCCAGGGCCCTGAGCTAATCCTCAGTGGACAGAGCAGGCAGCATCTTCTCTGAATTACAGTGGGGCCTGTGAGTAGCCTGGGGGTTGGTCTGCCAATAAATCCTTTGTCGGTTTGAATGTAGTGAGTTGTTTTAGTGTTTCCTTCCTAGAATAATAAGCATGTTGCATACGAGTTTTGTTAAAGTTAATGTGTTATTCTTTAAACCATAAGAGACAAATAATTTGGTTGCAATTTTAATGTAGAAACTATGAAATACATTTTGTAGCTAAATTAAGATTCAGAATCTGTTTCCTTGCAGCTGATTCTATGATTAGCCCTCTAATGCCCCTTACAACTCTCTCATAAGTGGAATAAGAAAACAGACCGTCCATCTCTTCTAGAAAGATTTGCTCAACTCTGTTCAAAAGTTGTGATCCTCGTTACAATAGCTAACATTCACTGAGAGCTTATTTTGTGTCAGTCATTGTTATAGGTGTGTTTTTGTGTCTTAATTCATTTAATCCTCACTTTTATGCCATATACTATCATAATCCCCATGTTATAGTTGAGATTACCGAGGGAGAGAGCACTCGAAGTCACTCACCAAGGTTACAAAGCTAGGAAGAGGCAGAGGTGGGGTTTGAACCCAGGGAAACATGGCTCTAGCATCCAGGAGCTTCACTACTGCTTGAACAGTCTCGTTCTCTTGCCAACCATAATCCACTCCCTAAAATGCGAGAGGAAAGGGCAACTCCAGAAATGGAACAAGCAAATACAGAACACAGTTTTCTTTTTTATGTTTAATTGTATAAATATGAGCATGCCTGTATATGATAAATATTGATTGGCTCCTGTGCACAAGAACTGTGCCTGATGCCACTGGGGGGTGCTCAGATGAATCACAGGGTAGATTATGCCTCCGAAGAGCTTAGAATTATGATAGGGGAAATAAATGCATATTTAAACAATAGTGATACAGGATATAGAAACATTCAAAAGGTATTCACTAAATGCAACAGGAGTAGAGAAGGGAAAGTTATTTCTACTAATGGGAAGAGTCTTTTAAGCTACATTCTTTGTTGCGGGTGGATGTTTTTGTAGAGAAAGGAGGTGGGGGAACTTCCTGAAGACTGTAGTGTAAATTAGAAAAGGTGGGTCACGCTTGGCACTGTACCTGGCACAGAGTCTGCAGTCGTGTTTTTCATACTGTTGTTGCCATTTGAGCTGGGCCTTGAAGTACAGGGATGACAGAGGTACAGAGATGTGGGAAGGCCTCTCAGGCACGGCTGAAGCCTGGGCCAGCCCTCAGGCACGGTGGAGGAGAGAGCAGGTGAAGGGAGCAGCAGATTGAGTCCAAACATTGTGTGAAGGGCAGCAGAGGGGCCAGAGGTCATTTGGGGCAGACAGTGGAGGGTGTTGAATGCCTGAAGCTTGGTGAAGTTACTGTAGAACGAAAACCAGAGAAGAGCCCCTCCCTCTCTCTCTTGGTGTGAGAGGCCTTCATAGTAAAATTCCCAGCACGTACTGGGTACTCAAAGTGCTGTAGTGCTGTTTGCAGCAACAATGTGTATTTTCCTATAATAAATCTTTCGCTAATCTAGGTTGCCGTTATTCCTTATTAGATTGCAGTGGAGGTTACAGAATCATTTGTGGACTATATCAAAACCAAGCCCATCGTGTTTGAAGTCTTTGGGCATTATCAGCAGCACCCACTTCACCTGCAAGGACAGGAGCTTAACAGGTTTGGACCGAATGAGCAAAGATTTTTGTTATTGATATTATTGTTGTTGTTATTGTTGTTACTGTCCCTTGCTGGAAAAGAAGAAATCTTTTGAGGAATTAAGATAGGTAAATAACAGTTTTATATATTACCCTATGTTTCCATTTCAGAAACATCACCATCTTTCTTCTAAGCCACCCAGTCACTAACTGTAGGTAGAGCAAACTGAGTTTTGCCCAGGTGACCTTGAGTACTGTCTTTTTGTAGGAAGAGACTTTGAATAGGATAGAAAGTTGAGGTGATAGGGATATAACCTGAAAGTTGTGTATAATTGGCCCTAACCGCCCAGAACTTTATGAAACATAAAGCCACTCTGAAGCATGTGTCTCAAAGTGGAGACATCAAAACTGGGGAGGAGGACAATGATGGGGACTTTGGGATGATGGCAGAGTGTCCTTGTTAACAGAAAAATTTTTCTTATTTATTAGCTCTGACTTACAAGGGGACTTTTATCAAAATGTCTTAGCCTCAGTTTTACTGTGTGGGTTTATATCTGATATCTGATAAGGTACCAGAGTTGAAAGTACAAATGATCCGTTTTTAAAGGGGATTTAAACACGCCACTAATAACAGCATGGGACTGTTAGTCTTGAAGAACTTTTGTCTTCCTTTGCAGTCCACCCCAGCCATCTCGACGATTCTTCCCTCCGCCCATGCCACTATCCAAGCCAGGTGAGCACAGCTGCGTTCTTTGTATGATGTACATCTCTTATTCTGAGTGACTTTTCAGATAAAAAATCATATTCAAATTCCTACTCCACTTCTGTGCATCCTTGTGTGTTCCGGTGTTCAGTAGGAACGAGAATTGTTGGTTCCTGATGGAAATAAGAGGTGCCAAACAATAGGGCTCTATATCCCCGCCGATACTGTGGTCTTCTTACTGCAGATTTTGATAAGCTCCATGTTCCTAAATCACTCTGCTTTGTGTGTAACTCCCTTTAACTGTCAGGTGACTGGGCACTCCTTTGCATATTACGTTTATTCTGCATGTTCATGTATCCTGTTCTGATTTTTCTTTGTTTATTTTCATCCCTTTTCCTCGTTGCCCACTTGCCTCATTCCCACCCCGCCCTGTGCTCATTCTCCACCTCTGTGCTCCTCGCCTCCGTCCTGCCTTCAGACCATGAGAGAAAGATTGAGCTGATTCGGTTTCTCATATCTGACTATGTGAATGTGCATGTGTTGGACACATTTTCTGAGCACGCCAGTGTGCTTGCATCCTCCGCCATTGCCACCTTCCAGGATGAGGCTGACCCAATGCCGCCTTTTCTCTTTCTGCCAGTTCCCAGCCGCCAGACCGAGAGGGTACCTAAACGAGATGGTTAGTAGCTAAAATTAGCTCTGCCTTAGATTTAGAACCATCCTCAGAGGCTGGTCCTAAAGCCTGGCTCTCCGTGTATGAAACACCGACGTTTCTGTTTGCTACTTGACCTGCATGTAGAGTTCAGCACATTGTTAAGATCATGTCACATTTCCTTCAGAGAGATTTTTAGGAAGCACCTTCTCTACTTATACCCCTTTCACATCATGCAGGGGAGTGGGGGGTGGTGGAGGGGCTCCTTATATTGCTTGGTGTGGATACTCTGCAATGGTATTTTTAATTTTAAAGATTTTTTTACTGGTAGCTGGCTTTTTGTAATGCTCTAGTTTTGCTTTCTGACCCTCAGATGCCCACCAGAGCCATTAACCCCCTATTATCTTCTTGACTAGCATCATCACCAGCTTACCTGGAATTCAGCTAGGGTGAATAATGCTGATAGGCCATGCCTCTGAATAGCGCTGTATGAGTCACACAGCCCCTTTAGATGCATTGTGTCAGTGGATCCTCACAACTTCTTTTTAGATAGTAGGCAAGATATTATGATCTTCATTTTCTAGTTGAGGAGACAGACTCCCAGAGGTTAAGTGACTCAACCAAAGTTTCATAGCTAGTTAGTGGTTGAGCGATAATTAGATCCCAAGTCACTGGACTCACGCCACTGCTCCCAGGTTCAGAGCAGAGAACCCTCTTTGTATTACCAAGATTTCAGAATTTCTACATAGTGTTTCAAAATGCCCACCATGTGGAATCTGAAATTCTTGAAAATACAGGGGTTTTGGCTAATATACTTCATCAGTACAGATAAGAATATGGAATTCACATCTGAAGAAAATGGGTAACATGAGATCATTTACAGAATCCTATATTTACAGATGAGACCAGTGGTTCCCAAACTTGTCCACACACTGGAATCACCTGGGGGGCTTCAAACCTCTCAGAGGGCTGAGTCCCACCCCTAGAGACTGTGATTTAATTGGCTGGCGGTGTGGCCTGGGCCATCTTTAAGGTCCCCAGGTGACCCTCGTGTGCAGGAAGGTTCAGGAACCACTGGGTTGGAGGATGGGTCTTTCCCGCCGCAGCAGCTTTGATGAGGCCCTGTGATGAGCGAGGCTCGCCCCACATTGCCTGCCTGTCCCACATTGTTACCGTGCTCTGCATGCCGCAAATGTGAGAGTCTAAGAAAGGTTTTTTAATGGTTTTGTGAGCACATTTACTCTGCGTGAAACCTGTTTTTCTCATCATTGGGTAGTTTGTTGAGAGGGATAAAGATGCTGACTCTCCATTTTCCTTGTTCTCTGAAGTTAGAGGTACTAATATAGTTGACGGTGAAGTTTCTCTGACTCTTCTGCACTGAAATCTATCCCTTCACTCTCGCTGCCTTTCCCAAGTGTGTCCTTGAAGACTGACATTAGAGAAGCTTATACCTTTGCTGAGTAGACTTGGACCAAATTTTAACATTTTCCAAAAACTTTTAAAAGTTCCAGCCACCAAGTTAAATACCATGAGCAAAACCAGCCTTGGCCAGAGCGTGAGCAAGTACGATCTTCTGGTTTGGTTTGAGATCAGTGAATTGGAGCCCACAGGAGAGTAAGTCCAACTTTATAAATTTTTAAATATGACAACTTTTCCCAAATTAGAAAATGTAATTTTTAGTCTCTCGTCTTTGGGTTCACAGAGCATTGCCACATTCCAGTTTTGAACTGAATTTGGGGTGGGGAGGGTCTTTATGTTATTCTTTGAATCAGATGTTTGTCAGAGAACTGTCTAGTATAATAATTTACCTTCTTGTTAGCAACAGCAAGATCATGGAGACTGGCACTTTGTTATGAGGGAAGACAACCTGCAAAGTGCGTTTTAGCAACAGCAAAGCAAAGGGAGTCAGAAGCATATTGCACTTTTAAAAGGGCCAAAGGCATATCAATATGTCAGGGGATTAGGGGACAGAATGTTTCTGTAGACCAAGGTTTCTCAGCCTCTCACTACTTGGGGCCAGATGGTTCTCTGTTGTTGGGGGTTGTCCTGTGCATTGTAGGATATTTAGCTGCATCCCTGGCCTCTACCCATAAGATGCCAGTAGCACCTCCCCTCCTGTTGTGACAACAGACATTGCCAGATGGCCCCTAGGGGTCAAAATTACCCCCAGTTGAGGACCACTGGCCCAGATCAAAATGATCAGCATCAGCTTACTTTCTCTGTATGAGCTGTGTTAGACTAAGTGACGAATGTAATTACTGTTTATAGTTGTCTCAGAAATGCTTTTGAAAAACACGAAAGAGATCCCTCTCCCGAAACAGAGGCAAGGGGCTATATCAGTTAGTGTAAAGGGTAGGGGATAAATGTTATCTTAATGATCCTCTGTTTATAATGCTGGGTAATACCATTATGATCACCTCCATAAAACATTTATTGAGTTCCTACTGTGTGTGAGGTTTGGCTCTATCGATCCTATGTAGAGTTGTCAGTAGTGACATTGCTTCGAGGAATTTGACTTTACACAGACAGATCTATAATGTGATTATAACTTGCATTATGAGGGAGCAGTAGTTACAGTAAATGGTTTCTACTGAGTTAATTGCTTTCTGATTCTTAAAAAATGATCTAGAATCTGAAATTATCTCTTTCTTATCTCCTGACACTTGCCATTGCAGTTATATGTTATTTATGGAAATATCTGTTAGACAGAGAGCTGGGATTGGAGCCAAAAGACGTTACTGCCCTATGAATACTTGAGTCTAGTCAGGATGATGAGACATACATATGTGGAAAGGTTTACTAAATGCATATGACTGTCCAATTAAATGTCCACCCCAGATGGTGAGAAAGACATGGGATCAGAGTTTAGAAAACAAAGACCACTGAGGGCTGGAGTGACCAGGGAGGACCTTGCAGGTGAAGTTGCACTTAGCACAAGCATTCTGTCTAACTTCTTTCTTTTACATTTCTGTTTTTATAGGTATATTCCAGCTGTGGTTGACCATACAGCAGGCTTGCCCTGCCAGGGGACATTTTTGCTTCACCAGGTACTAATGAAGGAGCAAAAGAGGGCTTAGAAGAGAACACCAAAAAAGTTAGAATAAGAAACATAACTCTCTGTTTCTCTGCTTTTTTATCTCCATTTCAAGGGTATTTGGAGGTCAGGGGACATTGCCCCATCCTTTTTTTTCCTCCTTTCCTTAATGTTTCTCAAACCTTGGCTTATATTTATTGATATATACCCTGGCTTTTATGTGTAAATATATATATATGTTTTTTTGTTTGTTTTTTGTTTGTTTGTTTTTTATTTGCGGTACGCGGGCCTCTCACTGTTGCGGCCTCTCCTGTTGCGGAGCACAGGCTCCGGACGTGCAGGCCCAGCGGCCATGGCTTACGGGCCCAGCCGCTCCACGGCACTGTGGGATCCTCCCAGACCAGGGCACGAACCCGTGTCCCCTGCATCGGCAGGTGGACTCTCAACCACTGCGCCACCAGGGAAGCGCCATAAATATATTTTAAAAGAGCTATTTTGAAAGACTTTATTTCATTCAATTACATAGTAATTTGTGCAGCTCCCATGTTATTTTATACAGTTTTCACTTTGTGATGTTTGGAAACTCTGCTCTCACAGCCAAAAGTTCTTAATGGAGATTGAAGATGAAGGTTTCAGTGGACTAAAAATCTGGCCATGAAATGTAGGTCCCCCTTTGGCAAATCAAAAGTAGATTTAGTCAGTGCCCAAAAGTGCTTATGAGCCAGATGGGCACACTCGGGGACTTTCAATCTGGGCATCAGTTCTTAAAAGCCATATCAGAACCTGGCTCTTCCTCAGTCCCTGACCTGTGTCCCTTTGTTCAGAATAGCAGTGTGGACAGCATTTCCCCTCCCCCTCCATACCTCCCCTTCCTGCCCATCAGACAATCCAGAAAACAACAGACAAGAGGAAATAAGGGATTGTCCCAGCTAAATTGCAACCCTGCTCCATTATCTAGGGCATCCAGCGAAGGATCACAGTAACCATTATCCATGAGAAAGGGAGTGAACTCCACTGGAAGGATGTCCGTGAGCTGGTGGGAGGTGAGTATGTTCCAGCAGCTGAGGACGGGCCTTAGCGGAGTGACTGCTCCCTGTTCGGAGCACAGGGAGTGTGCGGAAGGCTGCGCTGGAGAGCGTGACTGTCAGAAGAGAGTCCTTGAGTTGGAAACTACTCTTGTTTCCCAACTCCCTTCATCAGTTATTCAACCTGCCATTGTTTTTCTCAGTGCCTGTGGGAGCAGTTCTGGGCCCGAGGCTGTGAGAGGGCCTAAGAGAAGTCTCTGCTCCTTGTGAGCTTGGTTTCTAGTGAGGAGACAGCGTGTGTGCATGTACAGAGCAGTTTGATGAGTGAGTACCAAATGAGAACAACTGAAAGACCTGTGCTAAAAGAGTTGACGACAAAGAAGATCCAGGAGAACTGGGTTAGCTTGTAGGAGATGATCTGAGTAGATTTGAGAGAACTTAGAGGGTTTCATTCTTTTGCAAGCATTTGGAGTTAGAGAGTCAGCAATGTCTAACGTGCAAATGGCTAGAAATCTATGGCCAGAGTGGGGAGACTAAACTAAAGCACCATGAGAGAAAAGAGTGGCCAAACAGCATAAGCTGTAGAGCGAGAGCCCAAGGCAAGAGGTCTGAACCTAGTTTTGCCATGGACCCCTTTGGCAGTGGTGAAGCCTCAGAATTATGTTTTTAGATGTAAAAAATAAAGCACTTAGGATTACAAAGGGAACTAATAATATTGAAATACAATTGTTAAACTACTAAACAAATTTGTAACATAAGCTCTTCAATGATGTGGTCAATAAGCAGCAGGTCTAATTTCTATCATTTCAAAGTGGTGATGAATGTCAAGATACTTCACATTAGTGTGATATGAAAACATCTGTGATTTCTGCTGGGGACAGAGGTACGGGTACTGCTGATTCTCCTGTGGTTTGTGCCCTCCCCTCATAATTGCAGGGAAAGGCAAATTTCAGTTAGAGGTTCCTGAAAATAAAGTTGTAATTTTTTTTTCCCATCCAGTTCAGACCTCCTGAATTCTAACCATAAACCCCTTGTGTATCTGTGGACCAGATTAAGAAGGCCTGGAAGGAAGATTATACTCTGTCCTATCTGGGGCAGTGGTTTTCAAGCTTTTCAAGATTAATTATTACACAAAACAAGAGAGATGCTTTCTGACCAGAAAGGGTGGGGTGCAGAGGCAGCAGTTACTAAGGCTTCTCTATAACCCTATGGCTTATTATTTTTATAACAAACATGAAATGTGGCAGGTGCTTTTCTGAATGCTCTAAAAATATTAGTTTATTTAATATAACATAACAAACATATAATATGATCGTAACAATCTTATAAGGGAAGAATTGTTATTCCCACTTCACAGGTGAGGAAAGTGAGGCCCAGAGGCTGAGCATATGCCCAGGCCGCACAGATAGTTAGTGTTGGAGCTGAGATTTGAACCCAGGCAGTCCTGCTCCAGAGACTGTGTTCTTAACCTCTATGCAGTGCTGCATCCCCTACTGTTATTTGAAAACAGCATTGTAAGATTTTGAAAAAGAAAGTGGTGTAATGAAGGCAGTGGCTTAAGAAGTTTGTAGAAGGTGAGTGTGGGATGGCTTGGAAAGGGGGAGACGTGAGAGCAGTAGGGAGACCAGTTAAGTGGCTGTTGCCGTGTCTGAGATCAGAAGGGGATGACCTTCGTGAGCAGGGCAGTGATGTTGGAAATTAAAGCTGAGACAGATATGAGAAGCTCTTTGAACAAAGAGTAAGTTTTCACTGTTGGCTAAATGTGGGATGTAAAGGGGAGACAGAATATGAAGAAGAATGGAAGGCCAAGAATTACAGAATTAGACTGTAGGATTATAACTGACCAAACGACGCTTCCGGCACCTGAAATTACACAGAGATTTGACAGTCTCTTTTTGGCCTAATGAATTACCGCTTTGTTTCTATTTATTTATTTATTAAAATCAGTTGATTTTTTAAAAATTAATTAATTAATTTGTTTTTGGCTGTGTTGGGTCTTGGTTGCTGTGCGCGGGCTTTCTCTAGTTGCGGCAAGCGGGGGCTCTTCATTACGGTGCACGGGCTTCTCACTGCAGTGGCTTCTCTTGTTGCAGAGCACAGACTCTAGGCGTGCGGGCTTCAGTAGTTGTGGCTCCCGGGCTCTAGAGTGCAGGCTCAGTAGTTGTGGTGCAAGGGCTTAGTTGCTCCGCGGCATGTGGGATCTTCCTGGGCCAGGGCTCGAACCCGTGTCCCCTGTATTGGCAGGCGGATTCTTAACCACTGCGCCACCAGGGAAGCCCTACCACTTTGTTTTTAAACGTACCCATGTTCTGGTTTCTTTCTTCTTTCTCTCAGGCCGGATTCGGAATAAAGCTGAGGTGGACGAAGCCGCAGTCGATGCCATCCTCTCCTTAAATATCATCTCTGCCAAGTACCTAAAGTCTTCCCACAACTCTAGCAGGTGGGGCACCCAGGGAATGTGGTGAGTCAGCCCTAGGGGGGTTGATTGATTCACTGTAGATTCCTTGTTCATTAATGACTCTCCCCTTCTCACTTCAAAGTTCCCTGTTTGCTCCCCTGTCCGCCCTGCTCTTCAAAAATAAAAACATAAATCATTGGAGATACTTGTATGTGATGATACCCCCAGAGAATGGAAATGTTCTATCCCCTGGGGAGTTTGAGTAGATATAATACAGTGACAGAGAAAAAGCAGAAAAAGAAAACTCAGCATGCCACCCAAGGGTTTAAAAGTACAAATTCATTACGGCTAAGACTAAATGTTTTCCTATGAAGTGATTGCTGTGGAGAAAGACCTCTCGGCCCGAGGTGTCATGGGAGCATGCCCTCCAACGTATAGTGAACCCTCTTGTGTTCATCTTTGCTGCTGCCAGTATTGGCTCAAGGAGTCTCAGTATCTGCTTTTCATTTTCCTATTATGCATAAAGGCAATAAATTACTATAAACTCTTCTAAGATTGGCTGCTATAAATAATGAATTTTATTTTAAATTAGTTTCCCTTAGAATTCCATTTTATAATCAAGTGATGACAATGCATAAAGTACCTAGCCGTTCTACATTCCCGTGTCAGACTGGAAATAAATCTGCTGGGGCGCTTTTACCTTCCTGGGAAAGGAGTCCCGTCATCGTGCACAGAGACTCCCATTTCTCTACGTGGTGAGGGCTAGGAAACAGGAGTGGCTGTGTGTTCTAATGTGGGCTCAGAACTCAGCCTTCGAATTACAGGAATTCTCTGTGGTCTGCCTGTTCCTAAAAAAGTTGCTCACATGTGTTGGCAAGAGGGAGAGGAAAAATAAGACAATAAGCAGAAGCAGAAATGAAAAGTTTGGGCCAGGATTAATCTCTTTACATTGTTTCTTTGTGTTACTGTTTTGCATGGGAGTGAGGAAAAGGAAACAAATGTCTGTTTGCTTTTTGCCAGTCAGAGGAGCTGGCAGGAGCTGTGGACAGAAAGGGAAGGTGGGTGAGAGGGTGTGTACCTATGTGGAGGGGGTGTGGCAGAGGTTAAAGTAGGGTGCTTTGACCCCCGCCTTGGCCTATTCCTGGGCAAAATCTTGAACAATGCCATTTCTCTGAAGTCAGCATTAACCCCACATAGCATTCCCTCTTCTGCCAGACGTTTACAGCAAGTATTCAGCTGGCATTCACCACATTTTCCTTGCAACTATGAGAAATATATCTTAAACTTCCCTATGGTACTTAGCAAAACAGGGAAAAATGGTGTTTGGTTGAAGTGCTGGTTATGTTAAACTTGCCTACATTAGAGTAACCTTCAAAAGTCCTTTGATTCCTGTCCGGCAGCGTGTCACATGCTGTAGAAGACGAATTTGGCTTTGTTAGAAGCAGTTTATCTTTCCCAGTAGAAGCTTAGAGTTAATCAAAAAAGTTGCTGGGACTTCCCTGGTGGCGCAGCAGTTAAGAATCTGCCTGCCAATGCAAGGAACACAGGTTTGAGCCCTGGTCCAGGAAGATCCCACATGCCGCGGGGCAATGAAACCTGTGTGCCACAACTGCTGTGCCCACGTGCTGCAACTACTGGAGCCCGCGTGCCTACAGCCCACATGCCACAACTACTGAGCCCATGTGCTGTAACTGCTGAAGCCTACGTGCCTAGAGCCCGTGCTCCACAAGAGAAACCACCACAGTGAGAAGCCCATGCGCTGCAATGAAGAGTAACCACTGCTCACTGCACCTAGAGAAAGCCCGCATGCAGCAACAAAGACCCAACACAGCAGAAAAGGTTAAAAAAAAAAAAAAGTTAAAAAAAAAAGTTGCTAAAGTCAAGAGTAATAAAAAGAGGAATTTCCCTGGTGGCGCAGTGGCTAAGAATCCACCTGCCAATGCAAGGGACACGGGTTCGAGCCCTGGTCCAGGAAGATCCCGCATGCTGCGGAGCAACTAAGCCCATGCACCGTGACTACTGAGCCTGCGCAACTACTGAAGCCCATGCACCTAGAGTCCGTGCTCCGCAACAAGAGAAGCCACTGCAATGAGAAGTCCGTGCATTGCAAGGAAGAGTAGCCCCTGCTTGCCGCAACTAGAGAAAGCCCATGCACAGCAGCGAAGACCTAACACAGCCAAAATATAAATGAATAAATAAATAAAAATTTTAAAAAGAAGATACAGACTTTAAACACTTGTTTTAACTTAAAATATATAAATGTACATTAATTTGTCAAGCTCTTGCTATAGGGCCAAGGCCTTTTCTTTAATTGTAGGCTCATTTATTAGACTTCTGTCTTTCTTGCAAAGCCACACCCATAATTCATCACCTATGTTTTTTCAGTTTGGTGGAACTAGAAACCTATGAATAAAATCTAAGTGCAAAATCCTTTAAACTTTTTATCATATATCATCAAAATTTTATTTCCCTCTTTCTTTTACATTGATCTCACCCAAACTTAACAGCTGTTTTTTAAACAATTCACCATTATCAAGTCTTTTTTAAATGTTCAATTTATTTTTCACACTGTTTCCACACTTAGTTTTGTTTCACACTAAGCAAAAATTCTTTGTGCCCTCATGTTTCAGTGATTTATCTAATATTTAATTAAATTAGATAATTATAATAACAAATACAACCACATAAACAGGTTTGTAGTACTGACCCTTGAGAAGCATGAAACTCAGCTCTTTGGAGCAAATTGTCTGGGCGATGAGCTACCTCTTTATTTTAGAATAATGTTCAATGAGAAATGGACGTCAGTCTATACATTGCAGGGATGTGGAGAGCATAAGTTCATTTGGTAAGTGGCTAAATGGAGTTTGGTTAAGAGAGCTTTTGTTCTTTTTGCCCAAGGTTTAATGTTTAAAGTTGAACTTACAGAACTCCAGTTGGGTGTATTACATACGTAATTAGAGGGCTCTTGTGATATATTGATAGTGGAGCGCAGCTGACAAGGACCATTACTCCTTTTCTTCCCAGCCCTGCGTTTCTGTTACCTGCTGACTTGATTTTCCCTTAACTCCACAGCAACTTCCCACCATTTCCAATAGTAAGTCACATCCTAAAGGGATGTTAATAGAGGTGGTCTCCACTCTCCCTTCTGTGCCCAGCATTTCCTTAACTGAACGTCTCAGGAGAGGGACCCATGTCATTGTAAGCCCTTTATCAAATTGTGTCCCATGGAGTTCTCTGTTAATTGTTTGTCCACTTGAATTCACTTTTGCTTATCAGCAAACTTATGTTTTTATATATATTTTTTTTCTTTTCTCCTCTCTCTCTCTCTCCCTCTCTTTTTTCCTTTTTTTTCTTTTGCTGCACTAACAAAAGCTTTTTCTGTGTTTTTACAGGCTCTTTCTTGATAAGGACATTCCTAGGTATTTTCTGTTTGCTTTTTTTTGCACATGAAGATTCTAGTTTATCAGAATGCTTTATGTCGTATGTAGCTTTGACTGCTATTTTAATTTAATAGTTTTCCGCCATGTAAACTTGCGCCCACCTAGGATAGAGCAAGACCTTATTCTGCACCCTTGTGCCCTGGGTTTTTCTGATGCATGTATAGTTTCACATGTAGGCTCTTAAGTAATTTGTAGAGTTCTTAATTATTTTCTCATTCCATTTAGTAAACTTGCCCATTTTATTCGATGCCCCTTCAAGTTTTTCTCTTCCACATTACAAAGTAGAATGTTACTCCCCTCATTTCATAAGGAATCTCAGGCTTGCATAATTGTTCACTTTTTTCTTTGTTTTGTCCTGTGTAGTAGTAGAGACCAATTTAGTTATTTGAGTAGCTGAGTCTGTGAGAAATATTTTTTTTATTTTTAAACATTTCTCTTTCTCCTGTCAGGACTGCTTGTCTCATCTATTTATTTTCTGCTTTTGGAAAAGAAAAAGTTCCTGGTTCAGTAGTAAAGGAAATTTTCCCCCATCTCTCTCTTCGTCTCATTTAGGGAAGAAAACTGAAGGAAGTGATACATGACAATTTAGCCCGAATGTTTTTTTTAAAGATGCACATACACACGCACACAACACATACAGACACACACATACAGACACACACATACATATACACACACACTGCCTTTGTCCAGAACATCTTGAGAAATCCATTTGGGATTATTTCCTGACCACCTTAGCGGCATACAGGACAGCATGTCTCAGGACTCAGCCCTGTTTCTAACTCCAGATTCTCTTGCTAGCTTGATTTCATTGACATTTCTCTTCAGTCTTGGTTGTATTTCTCATGACCACCTCTCAAGAGTTGCCACCCTTGGTGAGTATTTCAAAAGAATGTGCTGCAGTAACTCCCAGACACCAAACAAAACAACAAAAAAACCCCGCCTTTTCCCCTCCATCCCAATACAGGGAGATTTTAGTGATGTCAGAATTTTTTCTATGTTAGCCAAGTTTCTGCCAGTGAAATTTCCTCTTTAGGTTAAGTGAAAACTAGAAAACAGAAATGTGAAGAGGCTTTCTCACACAAATTCAAAACATCTGCCTCAGTGGAAAGGGAACCTTGAACCCTGAATACTGGCAGCAGGAGATGCTTAGGTTCTGGTGTGGAGCTTGATGAGTGGCGGGTTCCAGGCAGCAGTGAAGTGCTTGTTGCTGTCACGTGTCTCCAGGGCCCTCGCCCTGAGAAGGGGCCTCACTTCACTCTGCACGGGGTGTCCAGACCTGCAGTGCGACAGGCAGGCCCCATTCCAGGCACCTCGACAGACCCTGGGACACAATAGAAGAGCAGTCTCAGGGACAGAGCCCTCAAGTGGCTTCTGCTGAAGTAATGGATTTCACCACCCAATATTAGAATTTGTCTTAAACCAAATTACAATTTAGATTTGCTCGAAACAGAGCTTTGTGGATGCATAAAGGGTTCTCTGCTGAGCCCAGTGAGCCCAGGAGCTGGGGAAGGGCTTCTGTCATCCTTTGTTGTGGTTGCTGTTTGGGTCTCTTGGTTGCTTTGTCCATCTTTGTCCTGTTAGTTGTCTCTATATTCCTTTGGTGTATTTGTAGAGAATTTACTTGACCCATACACACCGCCTCAAAAGCTAGATGTTTGAGAGAGTATCACGTACAGCCGAAGGCCCTTGGACAACACGGGTTTGAACTGCGCGGGTCCGCTTGCCTGTGGATTTTTTTCCGTAGTAAGTACCGCGATACTGTGTGTGGTCCGCAGTTGGCTGAATCGGTGGAGGCAAAACCTCGGGTACCGAGGGCTGACTGTAAGTTATACACAGATTTTTAACTGCATGGAGGGTCAGCCCCCTAACTTACCCTGTTGTTCAAGGGTCAACTGTAGTTCAAGAAGACTTAGATCTAGAAGTAGCTACAGGATGAAATAATCAGGCTTCAGACACTGGCACTCAGAGGGTGAGGTGTGGTTACGGAGTTCATTTAAGTATTGTTTTCTCTGTTTATTTCTGGAGAAAGAAGCATGGAGATGTGTTTAAAGAGGAGGTATGCCAGCTATTTGTCATGGGACACCTAGAAAAGACCGCTGCAGTGAGGTTACCATTTGGGAAGGAGTGAGGAGGAACGTACTGGGCAGGGGAGAAGGTGTGCAGAACTCTAGATGAATTGGGTGGGGTGTATTACACGTGCAGAGAGCTAGTGGTGATGGGAAGCTCACTCTGGAGGGGTGGACGAAGTGTCTTCCCCAACAGTCCTACTGGGGGTCTGAGGGAGGGACGCGGGGGGTCGGGTTGGGAGTTGATCTGTGACGCTGCTGTGGAACTCAGGACAGTGCTTCAGGTGAGCCTTGCTGAACTGGAAGGTTTAATGCCAAGTAGGGTCTGTGGTGTTTTACTAGTAAGAGGGAAGAAAGATATTAAAGCAACTTTAAAAACCAGTTTATTAATTAATCAAGCTTCTAGTTATTTGGATGTAAGATTCTTATGTGAATTTTTTGGAAAACTGGTAAGTAGTAGTTGGCTAGCTCTGGTGTAAAAAATCATTCTCTTTTACTGAAATGTCAGCTAAGAATAACCTCTTATTCTTCTATTTAAAACAAGTCTCTCTATACTGTTTCTTTCATGAACCCTCCCAGATGTGTTTGTGACATTTCTGAGGCTCAGCAGAATGGGATCGAGATACAAAGACTGCAGCTTCCAAATGACTGAATCTTTGCTTCCGGCCCTCATCACTGACTGACAGAGGAGCTTACTTAGTCTTTCTTTCCTGTTTTACTTTCTGTTGATACTCATTTCTCCTTTTCATCTTAATCCCTTCGATTGATCTCACTATTTTTATGTTTATAGGCAGAGGAGAAGCAGGCTTGTCAAAAAACAAACAACAAAAAGCATAGCTTAAGTGTTCCTTGACGATGGGTGGGGGGCAAGAGCATGGGCGCCTGCCTTTCCCTCCTCGGAGGCGCAGGTTCTGCTCTGTCGTTAGACTTTGGTAAGTTGGAAATGCTGGTCGGTGTGGGATTCTGCAGCATTACTGACAATGGCAGTGCCTGGACTAAGGTGGCTTCAGCTTCTTCTGGATGACTCCCTCTTGCCTTTTTGACTTTAGGACCTTCTATCGTTTCGAGGCCGTGTGGGATAGCTCCCTCCATAACTCCCTCCTTCTGAACCGAGTGACACCCTATGGGGAAAAGATCTACATGACCTTGTCGGCCTACCTGGAGGTGAGAAGACCCACAACTTGAGTTGCCGTGAACAGCCAGCCCCGAACAGTGGGAAAGTTACAACAGGAAATGGGGAGGAAAGATTTGACTGATTTTGTCTTCCTTTCCCCCTGCACATCCTGAAGTTATTGATTTTATTATACTTTGCTAACTGTTCTGGTTATATTAAATTCTGTTCCTGGTCTCTAGTTAATCAAAAAGTCACATAACTTTTATTACAGCTTCAGCTTTAGCAGCCCAATTCCCATTCTTCAAAGAATGTATGATTTTAAGAATACCACTTCTTGTCTTTGTAGTCGTGGGCAGAGCCTAGTAGTTAACAGCGCAGACCCTGGAACTAGCCTATCTGAGTTCAAGTCCCTGTGCTGCCACTTACTGCCTTCATGTCCTTGGACAAGTGACTTCATCTCTCTGTGCCTCAATTTCCATGTCTTTTAAGCAGGGGTAATAATAATAGCATTTATCTCAGGGCCTCCCTGGTGGCGCAGTGGTTGAGAGTCCGCCTGCCAATGCAGGGGATACGGGTTCGTGCCCCGGTCCGGGAGGATCCCACATGCCGCGGAGCGGCTGGGCCCGTGAGCCATGGGCGCTGAGCTTGTGCGTCCGGCAACGGGAAAGGCCACGACAGTGAGAGGCCCACATATCGCAAAAAAAAAAAAAATAGCATTTATCTCAGGGCCTCCCTGGTGGCGCAGTGGTTGAGAGTCCGCCTGCCAATGCAGGGGATACGGGTTCGTGCCCCGGTCCGGGAGGATCCCACATGCCGCGGAGCGGCTGGGCCCGTGAGCCATGGGCGCTGAGCTTGTGCGTCCGGCAACGGGAAAGGCCACGACAGTGAGAGGCCCACATATCGCAAAAAAAAAAAAAAAAATAGCATTTATCTCAGAAAGTTGTTGAGAGGTCACAGAAAAGGATTTAGAACAAACAGTGCTTGGCATATAACAAGTAATAAATATTAGCCGTTATTACAGAAAAAAAACTTTGAAAAAAATAAATGCATCTGCAAGCAACGCCACCTGACCTTGCACGTATTATCTTCTGATTTGCTGTTGAAATCATCGGTAGAGCTGAAATCCTCCACCCCCCACATCTGGGAGCAGCTTTCCCGATACAGTAGTGCCCAGACTGGTCACAGATGCTCTGTCTGTGTTTAATCGGAGCCCACTCCTGTTTGCTTTCAGCTGGATCATTGTATCCAGCCAGCTGTCATCACCAAGGATGTGTGCATGGTCTTCTATTCCCGGGATGCCAAGATCTCGCCGCCACGCTCACTGCGCAGCCTCTTTGGCAGCGGCTATTCAAAGTCACCAGACTCGTAAGTTTTTGAGACAAGTTTAGCTTCCAGTTGGTGTACCCTGTACAGAATCAGCAGTCTTCTAGCTGCTGTTTTCAGGGTTAGTTCACAACCTATAAACCGGAGTGCAGTGACTTGAATGTTGGCATTTAATAAAATATTGATAAATAGATGATTTAATGAGGGAAGGAAGGAATGTTCCATTGTGAACACTTCTCAAAAATTTTTGTAGGGACTAAATGTCATTATTATTATTTCTAACAGCTTACCATACCATTGGGATTTTATTCTTTTTAAGATTTATTCATGTTTAAGATATATGAATATACATGAAGAATAACACAGTGACTACCTGTGCATCACTACCTGGCTTAAAAATTAAGTATCACTAATACAGTAGAAGAGACAGTCCCCTTCTTAACCACACCCCCCAGAAACTGATGTTTATCATTTCATTCTAGTCAGACCTTTCTCCCCTCATCTTTTCTTTCTTGTGGTAAGAAAAGGCAAAATTTTAACCTTCACATTTGTACTATAAATCTTCTAGATTATCATTCTTTTTTTTTTATATGTGACTCCTAATTTTTCTTTTTTTTTTTTTACATCTTTATTGGAGTATAATAGCTTTACAATGGTGTGTTAGTTTCTGCTTTACAACATAATGAATCAGTTATATATATACATATGTTCCCATATCTCTTCCCTCTTGCGTCTCCCTCCCTCCCATCGTCCCTATCCCACCCCTCCAGGCGATCACAAAGCACCGAGCTGATCTCCCTGTGCTATGTGGCTGCTTCCCACTAGCTATCTACCTTACTTTTGGTAGTGTACATATGTCCATGCCTCTCTCTCGCTTTGTCACAGCTTACCCTTCCCCCTCCCCATATCCTCAAGTCCATTCTCTAGTAGGTCTGTGTCTTTATTCCTGTCTTACCCCTAGGTTCTTCATGACATTTTTTTTTTTTCTTAAATTCCATATATATGTGTTAGCATACGGTATTTGTCTCTCTCTTTCTGACTTACTTCACTGTATGACAGACTCTAGGTCTATCCACCTCATTACAAATAGCTCAATTTCGTTTCTTTTTATGGCTGAGTAATATTCCATTGTATATATGTGCCACATCTTCTTTATCCATTCATCCGATGATGGACACTTAGGTTGTTTCCATCTCCAGGCTATTGTAAATAGAGCGGCAATGAACATTTTGATACATGACTCTTTTTGAATTATGGTTTTCTCAGGGTATGTGCCCAGTAGTGGGATTGCTGGGTCTATCATTCAGTTTTATTCTTAAGTTCAGAACAGGAAAAGAACAGTGACTGATAAGAAATGTCTGTAATTATATTTGAGGGTGGATTGCAGACCCAGCGGAGGAGACAGTGTTTTAAGCAGAGAGAATTGAGATTTTCCTGGTTTTGTGCTATATGAAATTAAGCAGTTGTTTATTTGTTTTAATTCAAATAGAAATCGAGTCACTGGAATTTATGAACTCAGTTTATGCAAGATGGCAGACACAGGTAGTCCAGGTAAGTTCTATGGATCAGGAAAGTGATAGTTACCTTTGCATTTAACTGGAGTACATTATATCAAAAATCTACCCCACCCCTGTAGGATAGATATACATTTTTGAGAAGCTAGTTATATTTTACAAGCCACTTTGGTGGTGGTGGTGGTGGGAGTTTCCTTTTTCTGAGTTGCAGCACTGTTTGGTTTATGATATGCAATACAGTTATAAAAGCTGTGGGACAAAATGTTGCTGGGCTGTGGAATACTATAACAAATTCAAGCGTGTCAGAGTGAATTTGGCTTGGAAAACTTCAGAACCATTTGCCTCTCAACCTTAGCCCTAAAGATAACTTGACAGTAATAACTTTACAGGTGCTGTCAACCTAGAATTTGAACTTCCTGTGCTCTAGAAAGACAAATTATTAAGTTGAACTTGTTCTGTGTCCTTTTTAATGTCTCCTTGAACTGCTGTTGTTCCTCCAGTTTGGTGGCCTTCAACAGCACTCTGTGTTTCCATGTTTGTAAACTGGAACGTGGACACAAGTCAGGATTTTTAAAAACATTTAATGTAAATTTGAGTCGGTTTAGAGAACATATGTGGAAAAGAGGCCAAGGCCCACAGGTAAGATTGAGATAAAAAAAGACGACTTTGACTATGAATCCAAGTCCCAGTAGCAGCTAATTATAGTGTCTAGATAGTTCCTTCAGAAATTTTAAAATTAACATCAATTCATGTCTCTTGTATGTGAAACCAGCATAATATTTTTAAAAATTATTGGGAAATAATGGAGGCTAAACCAGTCTGTCATCTAGCATCTTAACTGAGCTACCAAATGTGAGGTAGCTCACATTTTTCCCACTTTTTTTCCCATGAATGTATTTTTATATATTTAGAACAATAGCGTACAGGCTGTTTAATCTCTGTATTTTCACTTAACATGATAACTAGCATTGGGGCTTCCCTGGTGGCGCAGTGGTTGAGGGTCTGCCTGCCGATGCAGGGGACAGGGGTTCGCGCCCCGATCCGGGAGGATCCCACATGCCGCGGAGCAGCTGGGCCCATGAGCCATGGCCACTGAGCCTGCACGTCCGGAGCCTTTGTCCGCAACGGGAGAGGCCACAGCAGTGAGAGGCCCGCGTACCACAAAAAAAAAAAAACAACTAGCATTTTCTCGAGAGGCATTACCAGCTTCATAATTATTAAAGAATATAAAACTCAGTTTTTAAAAGAAGTTTAGAGAGTTGCTTTGGGGCAAAAGGGATAAATTTTTATTAATAATCAAAATCCCATGTATCTTGAGACTAAACTGTCTCAGTGTGCCATATATTGTGAATTATTAATTCATTTTGAGCTAAAATTGGAATTGGATTTTTTTCTGGAAAGAAAGAGTTGTTTCGGGCCTCCCTGGTGGCGCAGTGGTTGAGAGTCCGCCTGCCGATGCAGGGGACGCGGGTCCGTGCCCCGGTCCGGGAAGATCCCACATGCCGCGGAGCGGCTGGGCCCGCGAGCCATGGCCGCTGAGCCTGCGCGTCCGGAGCCTGTGCTCCGCAACGGGAGAGGCCACAACAGTGAGAGGCCCGCGTACCGCAAAAAAAAAAGAGTTGTTTCCTCTTATCTCAGGCATGCAGAGGAGGAGAAGGAAAATCTTGGATACATCAGTGGCATATGTGCGGGGAGAAGAGAACTTAGCAGGCTGGCGGCCTCGTGGAGACAGCCTCATCCTTGAGCACCAGTGGGACTTGGAGAAGCTGGAGCTCCTGCACGAGGTACCCCGGGGCACGGGGTGCACAGGTGAACTCTCGGGCAAGATTCCCGCAGCATCGTCAGTCTTACACTCACCTCCTGTCTGTGATCCTGGCTTTGCAGTTTTCGATCATGATGGAGCCATAATATTTTGGTTATTAAGATCTTGATGAGCTTTATGTTTGCTGAGGCTGTAGTGTTGATCTTCTTAGGTGGAGAAAACCCGCCACTTCCTGCTGCTCCGTGAGAGACTTGGTGACAGCATCCCCACATCCCTGAGCGACTCATTGTCCCCCAGCCTCAGCAGTGGGACCCTCAGCACCTCTACCAGCATCTCCTCTCAGATCTCAACCACCACCTTTGAAAGTGCCATCACACCCAGTGAGAGCAGTGGCTACGACTCCACAGACATTGAAAGCCTGGTGGATCGAGAGAAAGAGCTGGCTACCAAGGTGTGGCTCCCTGCCTCTGCTGAGCACTTTCCCCCGTGAGGCTCTGTGAGCTGGTGTTTCTGTTTTTTTCACTTGCATTTTCATCTTTCTTTGAGGGCCTCTGTTTCAAGGCCTGTGCTCACACTGTGAATATAGAAATAAATGAGACTTAACTTCTACCCTTAATAAGTTGACAGGCGAGGGGGTGACAAGCTTACAATAGAGGTTTGGTCGAGAATGCTGTGGGAGCCGGAGGAGAGGCCTGCCCAGGAGGGCACTCGTGGACTGACCTTCGAAGGATGTGCAGGAGAGAGCCAGCGGCGTCCTGCACGATCAGTGTGAGGGAATCCGTGCAGGAGAGGGACAGGAGATGGAGTTGGAGAGATAGGGCAGGGCCAGATCACGAAGAGTCTATGTGCTGGACTAAAGTGTCCAGAATATCCCGGGAGTGACTTGGAAATGTTTCAAACAGGTATTTGTTTTAGAAAGATTTCTCTGGCAGCAGTAAAGAGGATGGACTTGTGGTGAAGAGACAGGCTAGAGGCAGAAAGAATTCTTTATTTCAGTAATCCAGATGAGAAACGGTAAAGTTTTTAACTATGGCAGGGGTGTGGGGGATGAAGAGGAATCACGGGAGAGACATTTGGAAGGTAGAATCCACATTCCTTGTTGGCTGGATAACAGCAGGAGAGGGCAGAGAGGTTGTTGAGGGTGACCACCAGGCATGTGGGTCTGGGCAACTGGCTGACAATGGAATGTAGAAATAAGAGGGATTTTGTGTTCTTTTCAATAATTGAATGGTCGTCTAGTTGATTTGGGAATGTATGTCCATCTAGAAACCTCCATGCCTTTTAGTACCAGGGCAAATGGAGAATGAAAGGGATGCTGTCGCATTCTTAAGCACTTTAAACTATGGTGTTTACGGTAATTCACTTTTGTAGTCGTGAGAATGGCTTTTTATCCACTCATTTTATCGTCTTTGTTAGGCATGTACCAGGCTTCTCTTGCTATGTACTCAGTTAATTTCTAGAGCTGTCTGAGCAGCACCTGGGCTCCACTGTGAGTCGTAGGCATGTTATTTTCCCTTCCTGCTTTAATCCCGGGCTTTGTTTAACCATTGAAACTTACTCTTCCCTCTCTCTTCCCTAGTGCCTGCAACTTCTCACCCACACTTTCAACCGAGAATTCAGCCAGGTGCACGGCAGCATCAGTGACTGCAAGGTGAGCAGCTCTCATTTCCTGTCCTCAGGTTTTGCTGCTTTTAGGTGGCTTGAGATGGGCAGAGCATTATATGTAAGGATGTATGACATATCTGCTCTTTCGTTTATTTAATTTTTCAGTCAGAACACTGACTTCTGAAGATAAAAGTATTCTTCTGTGTCTCTTAGAGTAATTATGAGATGGGAAACATTTGGGCTTTTCCCTGAATCCCCTGGAGAAGAGTATTCTGCAGGGGGTGATATATTATTATATGGCAAGGCACAAGAAGTCCTGAGGTTCTTGGTGGCATGAAATTTTGTTGCCTTCAACAAAGAGTGAGGTGAACACTTTAAAGAATTTCTGCATCATTCACTCTGTTCTGGTCATCTTCACCTTTTTTGCTATTCCCTAGACACTCCAAGCTTTCCACCTTGAGGTTGTGTACAGTGGCTGTGCATTTTCCCAGTATAACCTTCCAGATAGTCCCATGATTCCCTTCTTTATTTCATTTTTCTGCTCAGATGTTGCCTCCTTGGAGCGGATTTCCTTAACCACCCTATGGAAGGCCAGCAGCTCTCTGAAACCTTTTAACCTGCTTCTCTGCTTTACTTTTTGCTGTAGCATGGATCTCTGCCTGACACTTTTTTTTTTTTTTTTTTTTTTTTTTTTTTTTTTTGGTGGGGGGCGATGATAGAAAATTCCTTCTGCCATTTTCATGATGCCATTCTCCCATTTGCTGTGGCTTTAAAACTGCATTTAGTCTGACTATCTGGCTTAAGATAGAGGCTGTGTGTATCTGCCACATAGCAAGAGCTTTTTTTGACTGGAATTCTTTTCTGGAAAAAGTGATTTGGATCTAATCTTAATTTCTCTGAGAATTTTGACAGTGTGATTGTGGACAGAGGTGGATGAACAAACAAGAAGGCCCATAGAGTAGTCACTTAAAGGTCACTTAACTTTCTGAGTCTCAGATTATCTCCTGCTTTTCTCATAATTTCTCTCAAATGGCCCTGAGGTAAGGAAATTAACTGGGACTGGGTGAAGCTTGGACCAGGATATTGGTCTAGAGTGTGCAAGCGTTTGAAGTGTTCTTCCCTTAAATTATTTTAATGTTCATGAATACTATAACATGGTATTCCATCTTATACTTTCTTTGGTACAATATTGTGCTCTAATAAATTCCTGTGCTGTATTTCTGAGTGATATTTCTAATAGGCTAGAATTCTCCTAGCCCTGAAGCACCTTGTAAGAATCAGGGACATTGACGACTATTCTAGCTCATTTCAGTCCAAGTAGCCACTTTTCCATTTCATCTTCCTCCTCTCCTACATTTGAGCCCCCTTTAAAACAATAGCTATCATGTTCCTTGTTGCAATCAAATTCACCCAGCAAATACTCCCTGAGCACTCACTGTGTATTGCAATTCTTGTCTTGAGTGCAGATGAAGATGCAATTGTCTTAGAACTGGAGTTTTGTACTTGCTGGCTTTTTGCATTCTATGACAGTGCATGATTCTGGCCTCTCACAAATTTATAGTCAATTTTGGCCAGCTCTATTGTCTCTAGAAAGGAGGACAAGAAGAACTTGAATGATTAAAATACTCGGCAGGCGGACTCTCAACCACTGCGCCACCAGGGAAGCCCCTGACACTTCTTAAAGTGTTCATTGATTGGTTTATTATCTGCCTTCTCCACTTAAAGTGTAAGCTCCAGGAGGGCAGGGCCTCTGCCATGTTCTTAGAACAGTGCCTGTTGTTCTTAGTTCTCGGCACATGTAGATAGGGTCATTTAGTTAATGCAGGAAGCTGTAGCAATATAAAATATAAACATATTTTATAAATATGAAAAGCTAGCCTTGTCTCTTTTATAAATGTCTTGATTCCTATTCTGACACTTTGGCCATAAAATATTCGTAAGAATTGTTTTCTTGAACGACCTGAAACAGAAGAGGATTTATGAACGTGAGGTCACTGGCTGTCAAAGCTTCTTACTGCAGAGGTGGTTTTGTTCATCTGAATCTCACTTGCTGTGTTCTGTTTTCTTCCAGTTGTCTGATATCTCTCCAGTCGGACGGGATCCCTCTGTGTCCAGTTTTAGCAGTGCTACCCTCACTCCCTCCTCCACCTGCCCCTCTCTGATAGATGCTAGGAGCAACTCTTTGGATCAGAAGTAAGTACCCAGATTTCACTGACAAAAGCTAATGTAAGAACCAAGGGAAATGCCAACCTTCCGCTAGCTCAGTGGTTCTCAACCGAGGGCAGCACCGTCCCCCTAGGCAGCCTTGGGAAACATGTGGGAGCCTTTTCTGGATGTCACAGTGACTGGGAAGATGCTGCTGACATCCCTTAACGTCATACGTTTTACTAACTTTCTGCATCGAGTCACTGACTCCTCTTCTTCATCCCCTTCTGCGTGATTTGTTCTTGTAGTCACACCCCTGATTGTCTCCCTAGTCAGATCAGACACAGGAAGCCCCATCCTGGGAAAAATATTTTGAAACTACTTTAGAAAAAATATTTTAATGACACAAGAAAGCATATAGGTAAGAAGAATAGAGATGAAGTCCACGAATGATTCCATGAATTCATCATTAGAATCACTGCTGTGCGGTGTGCCATCAGTCTCCTTTGCCCTGTCTCCATTCATTATGCTCACCTGTCACAACTCACCTGGTTATCATCCAGCTGTCTATCTTCCTGTATCAACACTGAGGCAGTGGGCTGGAGAAAATAACACAACCAGGTAATTTAATTGAATCTGGGATGCCATCAACTCTAAGACATTATTTTTATATGCCACTAAAAGAAAAAGCAATGCCAACTAAAATGTGACATGCCATCAATTACAAGACGCATCCCAATTCGAGAAATGGTAAAGTTTGAGAAAAATGGGCTTTTTGGGATTGGTGAAATGCAATTAATTAGACTAAGCTGCTCTACAAAGATAACAATACAGAGCGTGGGGGATTATCTCTCTCACATCGGTTCCGAGCTGGTCCTGGTTGGTGGAGCAGCTCTGCTCCAGACAGCCGTTCAGGGGCCCAGGTTCTTCCCATGTGTTTGCTCGCTCTGCCAGCCCCTGAGGCAGTGATCCTCAGACTTCAGTGGCATCAGCATCACCTGGGAGGCTTCTTAAAGCCCAGGTGGCTGAACCCCATTCAGAGTTTCTAATTCTGTATGTCTGAGTTGGAGCCTGAGAATTTGAATTTCCAACAAGTTTTCAGATGAAGTTGATGCTGCTGATCAGGGACCTCACTGTGAGAACCACTGCCCTCGGTGGTGCCCTAGGTATGGCCTTGGGACTAAATAGAAACATATAAAGGAATGGAGTTCATATTCAGTACCCTTCTGTTGAGAGGGCGTCAGGGTAGGAAGAGAGACTGAGTGACTTGGTGGTCATCAGTGATGAGTTTCCTTTGTAACTGCCGAAGGATGACACCAGGTGAATTTGGGATTACGTTTCGGACGCCAGCTTTGTCTTCTTAGCCAAGCTCTCTGGAACTGATGTTTGCAAGGTCCCCGGTGTTTGGGGAGAGGCATTGTTCCTCCTGGTGAGACGGTTGTGTATTGACCTTACTGAAGCATCTGTTACCCCTTTCTTCCTAACCTCTCTCTTTTCAAGGACCCCAGAAGCCAATTCCCGGGCCTCTAGTCCCTGCCTGGAATTTGAACAGTTTCAGATTGTCCCAACTGTGGAAACGCCCTATTTGGCCCGAGCAGGAAAAAATGAATTTCTCAATCTTGTTCCAGATATTGAAGAAATTAGACCAGGGTGAGTACTATGTTGAATGGGATGCCAGGTATTAAAAGACAAATTAGCGGGAATTTACTTCCAACTCTTCTACACGAGGTCTGCATTACAGTCTAATGCAAACGGAGTCAGGGTGAAAGAGTGCTGGGCTGGGTTTCCACTCCAGGCATATCACCGCCACCCGGCACAGCATGTGCTGGTGGTGCTTTGTGCTCTTTCGCTGCATTTCTTCGGCAGATAAGATTCTAGACCAAGTAGATCATTTGCCTGTGTCCTTCAGCCTAGGGACTTGGCCTAGGTCTGTTTTGATGGCCCTCGCCTCATGATCACTTTATTTTTGTGAGAAACTAACCTCTCTTGTACTGTCCTTTTCAGCTCAGTGGTCTCTAAGAAAGGATATCTGCATTTCAAGGAGCCACTTTCCAGCAACTGGGCTAAACATTTTGTCGTGGTCCGTCGCCCCTATGTCTTCATCTATAACAGTGACAAAGACCCGGTGGAGCGTGGCATCATTAACTTGTCCACAGCGCAGGTGGAATACAGCGAGGACCAGCAGGCCATGGTGAAGGTCAGTCCTGCCCTCTCTTGCTTTTCATTGCCACGCACAGCCTTCCCTGTTGAGTTCTGAACTCTGTCGTGTGGTATGGAATCTCTCTTTTGTATTTGGTGTCTCTGAACCTTCAGTGTGAAGGGCCGTGTGCCCGCTGAATATGGCTGGTGGTCCCCATTGTTCAGTATCCATAGTAACTTTCTCATCTTCCTGTGTCTCTTTCAGACACCGAACACCTTTGCTGTATGCACAAAGCACCGTGGGGTCCTTTTGCAGGCTCTCAATGACAAAGACATGAACGACTGGTTATATGCCTTTAACCCACTCCTTGCTGGCACAATACGGTAAGAAGTTGTTCCTGTGTTTGCTTCCTCTCCTTGGTTTTTGGTTCCAGGGACGTCAACATAAACAGAAAAGGAAGTCTTGTTGCAAACAAGTTTAAAATAGAGGAAGGACAGGAGTGTAAGTGTGGTTGTAAGGTGGCGATGAGGCCTCAGCTTCTCATAAGGTGGCATCTGGTGTCCCGAATGGCTAAGGAGACTCTGGTCACATTTGTCCCCAGTTAATCTCCTGCTTTGACTTTTTATTCTTAACGGGTCTACAGCTGGGGTCTGTGGGACTGAGTAAAGGGAAGATTGTGAGAACCTTAACAGTCTCCCAATATTCGGCCGTATGATCCAGCCTCAGATCCTGTGAGGGGCTTGTGTCCCAGGGTCCCCAGAGTGAGGAGGACCACTGGCCGGCCTGTTTGTTCAGGGGCTTAGAGACCCGGGCCTGCGGTGCAGGATGGGAGGACATGCAAGGAGGGGAGCACAGAGGAGGAATACCTGCGAGGGCAAGAGCCCCAGATCCAGTTTTCCAGTCCTGCCGTCTGTCTGATCCTCTGATCCCTTCTTTGCCCACAGGTCAAAACTCTCCCGCAGATGCCCAAGCCAACCGAAGTACTAGGTGGCTGCCGAGCGCCCGCAGTCGCCTCCCGAGAGAGAAAGAAAGTGTTACCTCTCATTCCTCTTTGTGATTCTTGATGGTTATTCTTGTGTGTGATCCTGTGGCTTAAGTGCTTGTCCCTCCTCGTCCAGCACTTTTTCTGTCGCCCCTGGCCCCCGTCCCCATTACTCTGTACTCTTTTCTTTTTTCCTGTGCTGAGAATCTTGTTAGAAGCATGTGGCCTAACAAAAGGGGGGGAAAAACGAACAAAAAAACAAAAACCCAGAGGGGATCCAGTGAATCTCCCAATTATTTTTTGGTGTATTTTGGCTTCCTTTTGTGTGATAGGTCCCCATATGACCACCTCTGATGTCCGTACTTCTGTCTTTGGGTATCTCTGTCTGTTGTTCAAGACAACATAATACTTTTTTCTTTTCATTGTGATATAATTTTAATTTTTCTTGGGTGGCTTAGAGACTAAAGGAAGAGACATCTCGTCTTTTTTAGAACCTGAGAGGAAAAAACTTAACCTTTTCCCCTTCTGTCTCTTTTTGCCATGACTAATCCTTACATTTTCCATTCAGGGAAAGGGTTGTAGTGAGCTTAAAAATGGGACAGGTATATTCTCTGAAATTAGGGCTTATTTAGAACATAGTTATATAATTTTCATTTAGTGGAAGAGACTTTTCAGCAGGTTTGGGACAGTGGCTGCTGTTGACCTTATAAGAAGGAAAGAGCCAAGGCTATCGCTGATGGATTTCAAAGGACCATGGGACTTGGGCCGTGACAGTGGGGGTCAGTGGGATGCTTGTAGTTCCTCACAGCAGGGCTCCTATGAGCTGTTTGTCTCCACTGGGAGGGAGCCTCTTCTCTCAGAGTCTCAGTTCTGTTCTTGGAGTTAGTAATGACAGTGGTACAGTTTGGAATTAGTGCTATGATGTCATATACAAATATCCCACAAGGAGGGAGTGTTTCACTATCTGGTGATGAACTTGATGGTCTTTGTCATCATTATGATTATGATAATGCCAGGTAGTGACCTTGTGATTGTTGTAGCTCCCTTTGATCAAAGAAATCTAGCTCTTAAGTGTAAACTTGGATGTCTCCCTCTGAATCCAGGGGTCATTTTCAGTGATCCTTGTCAAATTGAAAACACTTTCAATGATGCTTGTCTCCCTATGCTCATAGATAAGTGAACATGGCAGGCTTTGCTTTCTGGACCCCAGAATTATAACAGACTTCCTGCCACCACTAAGAGCAAAAGGACACCTGGGGGCAGAGAAGAGGGTCCACCTGAACCCTGGCCCCAGGCCTGGTCATTTGTCTCCTCCTTGGTCATCTCCGTCGTGCGTGGAAGTACTGCCAGAGGAGGAAGGAGGAACTCACTGCTGGTAGCCTCCTCCTGTGACAGAACAGGATCGCCTGCTTCCAGAGGCCATTGTGGAAGATGCTCTTTCTCTTTCAGCTGGAGTAAGTGTCACAGGAATGACATGGGAGAGAAGGCCTCCAGTTACTTCAGTGGCTTTGCCAGTTGGCTTGGGGCTGTTCTGTACCATCCTTTACTGCCCTCACTCACACCTCTGTTTGACCATCCATCCTTCAGGTGTTCAGGAAGGTATCTGCTTGCTCCCACTTGGTGGAGATCCTCCGCCGGAGGTCCTCCGCCTCGAGGGTGCTGACTCTCGGGTAGCAAAGGGGCAGGGCCCGTGCGCTCAGCAGGATGGGTGCTGGGCAGGCTCGCCAGCACCCAGGCCCTTGCCTCTGCCTTCCTGGAGGGGCTCATCTCCTGGCTTCGTTCATCTAATTGCTTTGCAAAGAGGAGGAAAAGGGAGTCACGGAGAGCTTAACAAAAGAAAGACTAGAAATCAAAGGCTATGACCTTACCTGAAAAATGATCAAGAAAAATTCTATGGTAGATTTTTTAACTTTCTTCCTCTCCTTAAAACATAGGTCACTAACTCTAATGTTACTTGTTTTCTAAATGGTGCTTCAGACTTTAAAGTAGTTAGAGGTTTCTTGTCTAATGGACACAATGTGCCCTTCCAGTGTCCACTCAAATCCAGGGTCTGCCCGTGCTTAGAGACAGCTTCCTGGGCTGAAATTAAATCTAGTTTCAGGGAAACAAAGATGAGATTTGAAGGTTACTTTTCGAATTAAATAATGGATGCTGCTGCTGTTACAGAGTCTGATAGGAGGATCCGTGTCTGTGGCAAAAGGAGGCCGGGGGGAGCTGAGGGAGATAGAATCAAGTGATACAGTGAGATGTTTTTTATTCTAACTTAAACAAAACTGGCTTGGAAAGTCTTTGCTTTGGAATGTCAGGTACTAGAAGAGGCCGAGGTGAGAAGGCCTTGTGAGGCAGTGGGGACCTTGGCTGCGGCTCCCCGGTACACAGCCCCCACTGGTGCCCCTTTCTCTAGGGGTCTGTTTTCAGATTGGAGTTGGAGCAGTTTCAGGATTGATGTTCCCTTTCCAGGCAGGTCCATCCCCACTTTGAAGCTCTGAGAGAGAATTTATGGCAGGAATTATTTATGAGGCTTTCATGGAAGCCATAGTGTCAGGAAAGTTGAAAGAACTCAAACCTTTAAGGAAACCACCTTTTAAGGGTTGGTTTGTTTGCTTTTTTTTTTTTTTTTTTTGAAGCACACCTTTAAACAAGCAAATAATAATTAAGCAAGAAAGAACACTTATACAAATTTAGGGGAAATGAGCGCTAGAGTAGCCATCTCCTCCCCTCCCTCCCCCATCCTCCTTTCCCCTGCCAGAGCAAAAGACGGCCTCACAGCTTCCACCAGACCAGTGCTCACAGCCTCCTGTCTCCGCGCCTGCCTGGGGTCACTCAGCTCTCAGGCCGGGCTCTGCGGGGTCCGCCAGCCCACGCACACAGCCACAAGCGCAGGGAAGGGCTGCTTTTGGCAGCTGCGTGAGCACTTGGATTCCAATACGTTTTGATAATGTGAGGGAAGTCGAGGGAAATGATTTTTCCCAACTACGACTACTCAAATTTTGGATGAGATTTTTCAGCTCTTGTAAGATGAAGGAATCAATTAAGCCATTGTGGAAGATCTTTTGGTACCTAAAGTAAAATGACTTCTCCTGGCACATATATCAAAGCAAAGACTTTGTTGTCTGCTGCTTGTTGTCTAATTTACAGGGATATTTAATTTTGTAAGGTATTTGTATATTTATACAGCTATAATTAATTGCACATTGAACTGGAAAAGCAAGGATGACCTAGCATGTAGCACCTGCTGGTACTTGGCATTCCCTCGTCTGGGTTCCACTACGGTTCTCCTGGACAGTATCAGGGCTTGTTCATTTCTTGTTTGACTTGGGTCCTTCATTTTACCTTTTGGTTCCCTTTTTAAAATGTGATTGTTAACCTGCTCTTTAAAAAGAAAGAAACTAATTTTGCTGCTGCTCTCAGAAGGTTTGCTGAATGTATTTAAATAGGACTCTAACTCGTGTGCACTGCAGCTGTCCACTGTGGCCAGTGATGATTCACCCAAGTGTGTGGCCAGACCATGACTGTGTAGCAGG